AAGCGCATATGGTTTACCGTACATTCTAAATTGCTAGCATTAATGCTGACGCCCCTGATCTTCTTATGTGGGGTATGAGCACAAATTCAAATTTCCCGCCAAGTGCTTGCAGTCAGTCCATTCAGGCAGTAGATCCCCGCCGAGACTACGCACAAGCCAACCTTTAGTATTCTCTCGCATGTCATGGCATCCAATTCGCGGTCTCTTTCGCGTCTTGTCGTCTTTTCCCGCCACATCGCACCTCAGACTGATGAACTCGTTCATCAGCGTCTCAATTCCCCGTTGCCTTCTATCGGATCTGACACTGGCGCATCCTTTGGCCCATCCTTCTTGCACTCGGGTGCATCAGCACCATCCCCTCTATTGAGTCTACTGGAATATCCGCTATTGTCTCCTACCATTTATTCAACTAATGATAGTGTTTCCACGCTTTCTCCGCTTATCCGAGTTTCATCCTCTTCCTCTGTCGCCGATCTCCTCCCGAATTCCCGCGCCGACCAATCAGCCGCTTCCACGAGTAAAACGGGGAGTTGTTCAAATGATTGGTGTCAAAAGCAGCATAAACACCTGTCAGCAGCCTTACATAGAAATTCCGGAATTCACGCAGATTCAGCGGCAGCAGATGCAGGAAACGAATCTTCCCCAGCCAATTCTCAAGACTCAAGGGAATCGTCGCCATTAGACTCCTCATCCCAAAGTAGTAAATGCGAACCTGCATACTATGTACTATTAACTGTTGTAGAGGACTCTCCTCTACTTTGCAGGAACTGGGAGTTGTTCTAAACGATAGAGCTCTGTCTTAGCTTTCCAACGAGCCGTCAAACACGTCGATCGCCTAAGTATTCTCCGAGATATAGGCGTTCACGTGCTAGGTGGTGCTCTTGAATGCAAGTAAAGAAGCTCTCTGGAATTCGTGTTCGAATGTACCTTGTACAGAGAACTCTGAGTTTCACTATGATGGCATGCAATACAAAGAAAACAGATTTATAGCATGCAAACAAGATCGAATCGCACAAGTAACCTCGAACCGCTACACTCGCGAATGTTCGAGTAACATCGAAAGGGTGAAATTCGACTCTCGAATTTCACCGATCCGAATTCTCCTTGGGTCTCGAATGTTCCTGGTGCTGCCATGTGGCACCGAATCGAATGGGTCTTCCGAAGTCAATCCTCAACCCCACGCAAACCTGCAACTCACTCGAAGGTGAGCACAAGTCACACATTCGGTGGGTTGGGGGCATACAAACGCCCCACCACCACCTTGCTTCCAACACACGTAATCTCCAACACTCCCCCTTGCACCCAACCCACTAGGTGTGCAAACCAACATGCTCATAGCATGCACGGGATGAATCTTTAGGGGGTGGTTCCATGAGAGATTTCGCGTGTTCATCATCACCCTTGGTTGCGAAGCGAAATGCCGCGCCCTCCTTATCCGTCTCCCCAACGGCTACCGTAGCGTAGTCGTTGTACTTGGAGGGAGGACGAACCTCACGACGCTCGCGGGTCAAGGCCAATGGTAGGGAGGAAGGTGTGGAGGTAGTTGCCGCCTCGGTTGGTGACACCTCCACGACATCATCAATGTTCTCCTCGTTGTTCGCTCCCCCTCCATCGGCTTCCTTCTCCACTTGAGGTGGAGTCTCACTCTCTTCAACCTCCTCTCGTGGCGGAAGGATGAAGGTGAGTTGTTGAGTGGGTTTCTCCTTCGACGGGAACTTGTCTTCATCGAAGATCACGTCCCGAGACGTGACGACGCACTTGTCGCCCAAGTCCCACACTCGCCACGCACGCTCGTTCGCCGCAATTCCCAAGTAGATCGCCGCACGAGCCTTCGGTTGCAACTTGTGGCGAAGGGGATCCGGTACATGGTAGTAGCAAAGGCACCCAAAGGTGCGAAGGCGGGATAGGTTCGGCTTCGTTCCGGTCCATGCTTCGAACGGAGTCATTCCCGGGAGCACCTTCGTCGGCAAACGGTTGCGAATCCACGCCGCTAGCGAACTCGCCTCGCCCCACCACTCTTTCCCAAGCTTGGAGTGTTGAAGAAGAGAATGAACGGCTTCCACCAACGTGCGATTAAGCCGCTCCGCCGCTCCATTTTGTTGGGGTGTGTAGGGTGTTGTGACGTCGTGCTTAATGCCCTTGCACTTCATCCATTTCTCGAGCTCCGCATTCACGAATTCGCCACCACCATCCGTGCGAATACACTTGATCCGCTTCTTGTCATCGTCGCAAACTTCGAGCGCCCACTCTTGAATCGCCTTGGCCGCATCTCCCTTAGCCTTCAAAAGTCGGGTCCAACACATCCGCGTCGCGTCGTCGAGCATCACTAAGAGGAACCGCGCTCCTCCCTTTGATGCATGCCGCATCGGTCCACACACGTCCATGTGAACAAGTGCAAGCGGGTCCTTAGCGAGGGGTGACGTTCGGCTACCGAATGGCTTGCGAGCCATTTTTCCTTCGACACACGCCGCGCACACGCCCTTCTCGTCGTCGCCGGCGATCACGTCGACTCCCTTCGCAAGTCCTTTGTTGGCCAACTCCTTGACCGAGTCGTAGTTGGCGTGCGCAAGCCGATTATGCCACGCCTTGAGAGTCGCCTTGGAGCCTTGCGCCACGTTGGATGAAGCCGCTCTCGAGTACGTCTTGAGTTGGTAGATATCTCCGTTGAGAACACCTTGCGCGAATTGCTCCCCCTTCCAAAAGAGGTTCATTTTCGCACCGTCGATCGTGGCGATCACTCCCTTCTTCGCAAGTTGCGGGACGGATAGAAGGTTCACCTTCACCCCCGGGACGTGAAACACGTTCGTCACGTCCACCGGACCGCTATCGACGATGAGGCGCGTACTCCCAACTCCGACCACCGGTAGCGATTCGTTGTTTCCGAACACGATGCTCGTGACGTCTCCCGGAGCGCCAATGTTGTTGAGGAGCGACGCCGAGTGCGTCATGTGTTGCGTTGCGCCGGTATCGAGGAACCACACGTCGCTTGGAGTTTTGTTCCCGTTGCCGGCCACTAACACGAGCGACTCCTTTGAATCATCGGCCTCGCCGGATGCCGTGTGCGCGTTGCCCTCTTGGTCCCGCGCCATCGATGGAGTCCAATCGCTCGGCCGCTTTCGACACTCACGCCAAAAGTGTCCCGGTTTGCGGCAATAGTGACACTTGCCGCGATGCTCGCTCCCACCGGACGATTCCTTCGTTGCGTCCTTGCTCCACTTGGACTTCTTTCCGGAACTCCCCCCGGAGTACATGGCGGCACCCTCGCTCTCATTAGCGAATTGTCGGCGACGCGATTCTTCATGGAGAAGCCGACCAACCACCATTTCCTTCGTCCAAGTGTCTTGCACGCTATCGAGTGTCGTAATCACCGTCGACCACTCTTCCGGAAGGCCGCAAAGCAAGGTGAGAATCCAATCCTCCTCCGTGACCGTTCCACCGAGGTCCATGAACGTTTCCCCGAGTTCCTCCACACGAGTCGCAAACTCGTGCATCGATTCGCCCGCGCGCATCTTCACCGTGTAGAACGCATTCCGGGCTAGGATCTTGCCGTGGAGAGTCTTGTTCACGTGGATAATCTCGAGCCGCTTCCACGCTTCATGCGCCGACGCTTCGAGCTTGATGCACATGCGCACCGAGCTCACGAGATTGATGCCGATGCGCGAAATCAACGTAGCGAACGCCTTTTGGTCCTTCTTCTTCCATGCCGCGATGCCGCTCTCATCGTCCGGCTTCTTCTCCGTTCCATCGAAGAAACCCCAAAGTCCCCGCTCCATCATGAGCACTTGGAACTTAAACTTCCACGCGGAGTAGTTTTGTCCCGTGAAAATCGGTACCGCCGACGTGTCGAACATCGTCGCGGTTGCCCAGGGTTCGCCGGAATTTACAACGACACCATCCAAGGAAGTGCGGGAGGCCTCGCTTGAAGTCATCATGCGTGCTCCTTGTCGCGCGCGTAGACTCCTCCGACCAGCTCTGATACCACTGTTGTAGAGGACTCTCCTCTAATTTGCAGGAACTGGGAGTTGTTCTAAACGATAGAGCTCTGTCTTAGCTTTCCAACGAGCCGTCAAACACGTCGATCGCCTAAGTATTCTCCGAGATATAGGCGTTCACGTGCTAGGTGGTGCTCTTGAATGCAAGTAAAGAAGCTCTCTGGAATTTGTGTTCGAATGTACCTTGTACAAAGAACTCTGAGTTTCACTATGATGGCATGCAATACAAAGAAAACAGATTTATAGCATGCAAACAAGATCGAATCGCACAAGTAACCTCGAACCGCTACACTCGCGAATGTTCGAGTAACATCGAAAGGGTGAAATTCGACTCTCGAATTTCACCGATCCGAATTCTCCTTGGGTCTCGAATGTTCCTGGTGCTGCCATGTGGCACCGAATCGAATGGGTCTTCCGAAGTCAATCCTCAACCCCACGCAAACCTGCAACTCACTCGAAGGTGAGCACAAGTCACACATTCGGTGGGTTGGGGGCATACAAACGCCCCACCACCACCTTGCTTCCAACACACGTAGTCTCCAACATTAACGTGCTGTGTACTTACTAAGTAGCTACTCCTCTCCTGGGGGGTATGTACGCATATGTGCTGATACATACAAACTACTACTCACCGCGGCGTGGAGTAGGTACAATGTCCCAACCCTGCTCCTACTCCGCGGGGGTGGGGAGTTCACACAATGTATTTGCTGTGTCGCAACGCTACCCTTTCAGGTTGGCTGGCCATGCAGTACGTAGTGACTCGGTAGTAGCAAATTCGAAATAGTCCGTACAATAACTAATTACAGTGTAGCTACTACGCCCAACATTTCAGGGTAACACATGTTACAGCATGTAACACGACGTACACTGTTTTCAATACACCACATATTGTGCTATAATTAATATCCAGCCAGGTTTTTCTTTCCAATAAAAAATAATAACAAAAAACACAAACAGCGGCAACAAACCGTGGCATCACATGGGAGCAAAACCAACAGCACACACAGTCTACACCCCATCATCCTCATCTTCCTCGCCTTCCACGCTTGCATCAACATCTGCAAAATCCATGTCCTCCTCATCCCCCACAATCTCCTCCGGCAGACCCCTCACTTCCTCCAAGGGTGGGTACTTGATGAGGGACTGGGGGAGGGGCGCAAAGCGGAAAGGGCGGAACAAAAAGGGGATGGGGGCGGATGAGTTGAGCATTTCACGATTGATAGGCGGAAAAACGGCAGCGACATCAAATCAATCTCACTGGCCATCCCCATCCCCATTCCGACTTCCCCTCTTCTCCCAGTCCCCTTTCCCCCTCACCTCAATGAGGCTCGAGCCGTCCCCCGTTCCGCACCGCCCGCCGCACTCCCCCATCCGCGGAGCTTGCGCGTCCTGCTCCCACAATATAGCCACCCTCGCTGCCGTGAATCGCGTCGAGCAGGCGGTGGTCGAGAGTGTGGCTCTCCGCACGGGAGAAGTAAAGCCCGCGAGAGGCATTGCGCCCTTGCTGTAGCACGGGGGGCGGCGAGGGCAGCCCCAGATAGCGCGCTGGGGGAGATGGGGAGCAGTGAAGGACGGGGGAAATGGGCGGGAAGCAAGGGAAGGGGGGGGAGGGGGGGGTGGGGAGGGGGGAAACGGGAGGGAGGGGAGGCGGCTATGAAAAGGTGGGCCCAGCAACGCCAAAAGCCCCCTCTGCTACCCTCACAAGCCTTCATCCCCCCACTCCCTCCCTTCCGTTCCCCCCATCGCACCACCCGCCCGCACTGCCACCCTCACAAGCCCCACTGGCAGCAGCACGCACCCAAGTAGTCGATCTTCAGGCGGCCATCGGAGAAGCGCTCCAACGCCTCGATGTAACTCATGCCGTAGAGCGGCAGGTCAGCACGCAGGAAGCGGTGGGAGCCGTCGTGGTTGTTGCCTACGTCCACCCAGGAGTCGCCATTCACAAAGAGCGCTGTGATGGTTAAGAGTGTTGAGCAGTGCTGCTGGTGTGAATTGGGGGAAGCAGGGAGGGAGAGGGGAGGGTAGTGGTCAGGGAGAAGAAAGGAGGTGAGAGAGTGGGGACGAGGGGGGGGGTGGAAGGAAGGGAGGGCACGGCGTGGCAGCCCTGAACGACAGCATGGAGAGATTCCTCAAGCAATGCGCAAGACCCCTACAAACCCACTCGCTCACCAGCCTCACTCACTCCACCGCCCCACGCTACCCAGCGACAGCACACCCCCCTGCATGCCATCGTGCCCCATCCCTACTGCCTGCATCCGACACTGGCGGCGTTGCGCCACCTCTCTTGCCCCCCTGCTCAATCACCTCACATGCCCCACATACACCTCTCACCATCTCTCCCTCGCTCCCTCTCTCCTTCCCCCCCACAGCCCCTCCCCACCCCACTTCCCTCCCTACTCCAACGCCACCTCCCCTCTCTCCCCTCCCTGCCCCTCCACCACCGACTTTGCTACGCGCCTGCGCGCTTCACGGGGGCACCACTGCCGCGCACCGTCACCGCAATTGCGCCCACCACGACCACTGCTGCTCCCAGCGCCAGCCGCACCACCGCCAGCCGCGCTCTCCGCGGACGAAGCCGGCGGAGGCAGCGCGCGCTGCTCCGCGCAGCGGCGGATGCAGATACCCCCGTGCGCGCACCCACCATCGCGCAACAGAGGTCCGGCGGGTGGGCGCGGGAGATCAGCGGAGGCAAGAGGAATATCCACCGCCGTAGAGACACGTGCGACGCCACCCCTCGCCGTTAGAGAAGCTCACAGCGGCAACGGTCTCGCGTACCTCGTTTGCGCAGTCGTAGTCGAACGCGCGCACCCGAGTAAGCGCGACTCGCGCTGTATCGTGCTCGAATAAAGAGGGGAAAAGGGATAAGGGAGGAGAAAAGGGGAAGGGAAGATTAAATAAGGTGAGGAAAGAGAGAAGACATGAGAGAATGAAAGCATACGGAATTTACGGTCGTTGCAATGGGTCGCGTCATGATTCGAGCGCATGCGAATGCTCACATCAAGGTCTTCGCTCATACTGTGCGCCGTCGTCAACTTTACGATACTCGTGTTTAGGAAAGTCAAGAACTATAGAAACTGGAGAAGCTTGTTCGCCGCTCGCTCTCCCCCTTGCTGCCCTGCCTCCCCACTCATCTGCCTCCCCCCCCACCTTCTAGTCCTTTTATGCACATTCGAGCGATATCGGCTCGACCCCTGACCATCATCCCTCGTTCCGCCTCGGCTCCGCCCGCCTGCGTAACCGTCGCCGTGTCCTGGCGATCCACCAATTTCGTGCTATGCCGTAACCACGCTTCACAAACGAGATGAGCGTAGGCTGCTGATGCGCTGCAGTAGCCATCGTAGGTAGAGGGGGAGGGTAGTACTTGTGTTTCTAGCTGCAAAACTTGACAACCAACAGGAAAGTGAGTTGATCCACTGTGCCTTCAACCTAAATACAGTACAGCTGACAGAGAGTTTGCTCGAGTGTTTCGTAATGGTTGGGAGTTGGAGCTCTGAAACAGAGCTGGATCCGAGACAATCCGAGCAGCCAATCATGTGCAAGTGGGGTTTGCGATGGAAGTTGATCGTAACCATCCATCGAAATGTTTGATCGGACGGTCGTGCATAGTGTTTGTTTTGGTTTGGTTTGCTTTGGTTGGTTTGGTTTGGTCAATGCTTTGGTTCGGTTTGGTTTCAACAAAGCCGATCTAACCCAATTGGGAGTCTGTGGGTGTGGATGAGCAATCCGAACTGCCCACGTATACAGCAGTTTTGCAGTGGAGGGGGAGTCCCCAGACACTGTGGAGTGTGATCGCGATACATTGTAGGGACTCCGTTCGATAGGTTGGAGATCCCGCATACTGGGTGTCAAGTTGGAGACTGGAGGGAGTAGCGAGTCAGTAGCGAGTGTAGCCACAGTGCATCTCGAAATACATAGTACTCACTCCCACTGTCCAAACCACCCCCCCCAAAAAACAAATTTGGGATGCTCTTCGTCCGAGCCCGTAGCTTTGGTAATAGGTGCGGGAGACGCCATAGGCTCGGCAGTGGCTCGGCGGTTCGCCAGGGAAGGATATGTGGCGGTGGTGGTTCGGAGAAACGGATCCAAACTCCAACGGCTAGTGGAGGAAATAGCAGCAGATGGCGGGAAAGCTGTGGCATTCGGAGTGGACGCCAGAAGAGAAGGTGAGCGAGCAGAGACGCTGTTTTTGTTTTCTGTTCTAGAAAACGGATCCAATCTCCAACGGCTAGTGGAGGAGATAATGGAGATGGCGGGAAAGCAGTGGCGTTTGGAGTGGACGCCAAAAGGGAAGGTGAGTGATGATGGGTGAGATGTGGGGAGAGAGAAGGGGAGTGATGGCGGGGGGACGGGTCCTGACGCCGAGTCAGCTTCAATCATGGAAGGCGCGGAGGGCGAAAAGTCGCCCCTATAGCCCTCTCCTCTCCTCCTCCTGCAGCACGTCCCTCCCTGGCGCGCTGCACCACCACCACTTCCCCCTGGCGCCGAGTCAGCTTCCATCATGGAAGGCGCGGAGGGCGAAAAGTCGCCCCTATAGCCCTCTCCTCTCCTCCTCCTGCAGCACATCCCTCCCTGGCGCGCTGCACCACCACCACTCCCCCTGGCGCCGAGTCAGCATCATGCAGGGCGGGCAAGAAGGACGGGATGGCGCCCTGCAAGAGACGGGCCCTCTCCTCCTGCAGCACGTCCCTGAAGCGTGCGCGGTAGTCGGCAAAGATGGTCCTTATGGAGCTCCAAGGTGAGTGATGTTGGGTGAGATGTGGGGAGAGAAGGTGAGAGTTGAAGTGTGGAATAAAGGGAGAAAAGGTGAGAGGTTAAGCGTGCGATAGGGGAGAGAGAAGATGAGAGGTGTTGGGTGAGAGGGGAAGAGGGAAGGTGAGGAATGATGTGTGGGATCGCATGTGATGGTTGCATGTGACGAGTTTGAACTTTGGTGCAAGCAATACTGACACAACTCCAGTCCCTGTTCCTCTTCTCCCTCCTGCTCCACCTCTCCTCCATTGCAGACCAGGTGGTGCAACTGTTTGCTACAGTGGAAAGAGATATCCGTCCGATCCATGTGATGGTGTTCAACATTGGAGCTACCAGTTTTGACTCCAATCCAGTTCCTCTTCCTCGTCCCCCTCCTGCTCACTCTCTCTCCTCCCGCAGGCTAGGTGGTGCAACTGTTCGCTACAGTGGAAAGAGAGAAATCAGTCCGATCCATGTGCTGGTTTTTAACATCGGTGCGAGCAGCACTGACACGACTCCAGTCACTGCTCCTCTTCTCCCTCCTCCTCCACTCCTCTCCTCTATCTCCCGTCTCCGTTTCTCTCCTCCCCACAGGCCAGGTGGCGCAACCGTTCGCTACAGTGGAAAGAGAGATCTGTTCGATCCATGTGATGGGACTCAACATCGGTGCATGCATCACTCCTCCTCCATCTCTCTCCTCACTCTCTCTCCTCCCCACAGACCAGTTGGTGCAACTATTTGCCACAGTGGAGGCGGAGATCGGTCCGATCCATGTGATGGTGTTCAGCATCGGTGCGAGCAGCACTGACACGTCTCCAGTCTCTGCTCCTCTTCTCCCTCCTCCACTCCTTTCATCCATCCCTCTGCTCCACCTCTCCTCCATTGCAGACCAGGTGGCTCGGCTGTTTGCTACAGTGGAGGGGGAAATCGGTCCCATCCATGTGATGGTGTTCAACATTGGAGCAAGTAGCTCTAGAATTGCTCCTGTCTCTCCTCTTTTCCCGGCTCCTCCCACCCTTTCCTCCCCGCAGACCAGGTGGCTCAACTGTTTGCCACAGTGGAGGCGGATATAGGTCCGATGCATGTGATGGTCTTCAACATCGGAGCAAGTAGCTCTAGGATTGCTCCTGTCTCTCTTCCTCTTTTCCCGGCTCCTCCCATTCCTTTCCTCCCCGCAGACCAGGTGGCTCAACTGTTCGCTACAGAGGAGGCGGAGATCGGTCCGATGCATGTGATGGTGTTCAACATCGGTGCGAGCTGACATTGCTCCTGTGTCTCTTCCTCTGTTCCCGGCTCCTCCAGGCCAATAGATATTGCTCCTCCCATTCCTTTCCTCCCCGCAGACCAGGTGGCTCAACTGTTTGCTACAGTGGAGGCGGAGATCGGTCCGATGCATGTGATGGTGTTCAACATCGGAGCAAGTAGCTCTAGGATTGCCCCTGTCTCTCTTCCTCTTTTCCCGGCTTCTCCCATTCCTTTCCTCCCCACAGACCAGGTGGCTCAACTGTTTGCCACAGTGGAAAAGGAAATTGGTCCGGTTCGAGTGGTGGTTTTCAACATCGGAGCAAACATCAAGTTTGATGTGGTGGACACGACTTCGAGAGTTTACTTCAAGGTGTGTCAGTTGTATGCTTTGAAGAGGGTTTTTGAGAAAATACAAAAACTCCCGGACACGACTTTGAGAGTTTACATCAATGTGTTAGAATTTATATGTAACTGCCTGTAGCTGTAGTTTAGTGTAGTTATTATAAACTGTTGGTGGTGCACCTTCTTTGCATGCTCTGTTTACTATATGTACCCTAGTGCTATAGTGAACATCACTTTTCCCATTCTCGACTCTCACCTTGGCACAACCTCCTCGACTTCCCCTAGGCCTAGGCTAGTAAGCCTAGGCCCTACCTAAAACCTAAGCTTACTCTTACTTAGTAACTCAACATGGTATCAGAGCGAGTTACGTCCTGGCCTGTGGGCCCGCCTCACGCTTCCGCTGCTGTTTTTCCGGTCGCGCGCCTCGGGCGCGTGGCGATTTTCGTCCTGTCCCGCCCCCGGGTGGCGAGTGACATCTTTTCTGCCCGTCGCGCGCCCCGTGGCACGCGACGGTGCCCTGCCCGTCGTGCGCCCCGTGGCACGCGACGGTGCCCTGCCCGTCGTGCGCCCCGTGGCACACGACGGTGCCCTAAACCTGCCCGTCGTGCGCCCCGTGGCACGCGACGGTGCCCTGCCCATCATGCGCCCCGTGGCACGCGACGGTGCCCTGCCCGTCGTGCGCCCCGTGGCATGCGACGGTGCCCTAAACTGCCCGTCACGTGCCCCGTGGTGCGCGACGGTGCCCTGAGCCGCCGCGGAACCGCCCCTGGCGCCTGCGACGGTGTCCTGAGCCGCCGCGTACCCGCCCCTGGCGCACTCGGCGGTGCCCCTGCCTCACCCGCGCCTGCACTCGCTGCAGCCGCCCCTGCACCACCCGGCGCCTGCCCTTGGAGCAGCCGCCCCCGCTCCTGCACTCGGTGCAGCCGCCTCTGCCTCACCCCGCGCCTGCACTCACTGCAGCCGCCCCTGACCTACCCGCGCCGACCCTCTGTAGCCGCTCTGCGGCTTTCTCCCCGCCCACCCCCTCCTCCTTCGTCTCCCTGCAGCCGTGGGGGGGAGGGTATGGGGGTGGCGGGTGTTGGGGTGATGGGTGGTGTGCTTCCCTTCCCCTCCTCCTCCTTTCGTTCCCACTGCTGCAGCTGCCGCTGGGGGGGAGGGTGTGAGGGTGTGGGGGAGCCGGGGGAGTGGCACTGGGGTGGCGGGTGTGAGACCAACCAGCAGCCGTCCCTCCACCTCTCCTCTCTTCCCCCCTCTGCTGCTCCTGCAGCAGTGTGGGGGGGAGGGGGAGGGGGAGGGTGAGGAAATGGAGGGGGTGACCAGCCAGAGCCAGCCCGCCTCCTCACTCTCCCTGCTGCCCCTCCTGTGGTTGGGGGGGGGAAGAGAGTAAGGGGGTGGCAGGAATTTCTTGCTGTCGCCTGTCCCTTTGCTGCTGTACCTGCTCTGTTACCGTACCTGCTGTTGCTGTTGCTAGTATACCCCTGCAGGTTGTGTTCTGCACAAACTCCTGCTGCAGGCAGTTATGGGGGAGTGTTAGAATTTATATGTAACTGCCTGTAGCTGTAGTTTAGTGTAGTTATTATAAACTGTTGGTGGTGCACCTTCTTTGCATGCTCTGTTTACTATATGTACCCTAGTGCTATAGTGAACATCACTTTTCCCATTCTCGACTCTCACCTTGGCACAACCTCCTCGACTTCCCCTAGGCCTAGGCTACTAAGCCTAGGCCCTACCTAAAACCTAAGCTTACTCTTACTTAGTAACTCAACACAATGTGTGTCAGTTGTATGCTTTGAAGAGACGGGTATGTTTGCCTTGATCCATGTGATGGTTTTCAACATTGGGGCGAATGTCAAATTTGATGTGATGGACACAACATCGAGAGTTTACTTCAAGGTGTGTCAGCTGTACATGGGGGGAGAGAGAGAGAGGTGTGGAGAGATGTCAAGCCAGCCAAGCTAGGTTCAATCGGATCCATGTAATGGTGTATCAGGTGCAATCAATCAGGTGGTTTTTTTTTTTTTTTTTTTTTTTTTTTTTTTTTTTTTTTTTTTTTGTGGGCTTATGGGTGATCAGCTGACACACCTTATGTTAGCAGGTGTAATGGGGAAAACCTATCTTACAGAAATTATCCAACTTGTGCAACAGATGGCATTCTGGTGTGAAGCTTTCAGAAGGCTACTCGGAGGCTGTTCTCTTCTCTATAGTTGGACTCAATGTAACCGTCTGTCGTTTGAACCCCTATAAACCCCTTGAAAATGTTGTCATCCGAACCTCCAGGTTTGGGAAATGGCATGCTTGGCAGGCTTCCTCACATCTCGTGAGGCTGCACGGAGGATGCTTCCCAGAAACTGCGGCACGATTATTCTCACCGGTGCTACTGCAAGCGTTCGTGGCGCTGCAGGGTTTTCTGCCTTTGCGGGAGCTAAGCACGCGCTAAGAGCTATGGCTCAATGCTTAGCTAAAGAATTAGGTCCCCAGGGGGTACATGTTTGCCATGTGGAAATTGATGGGGCTGTTGACACACCGTGGATTAGGGGGAATTTCCCAGAGATGGTAAAGGAGAAAGAGAAGGTGGATGGGTTGGTGCAGCCTGATGATGTGGCGGAGCTGTATTGGTCGCTGCATATGCAGAAGAGGAGTGGCTGGGCGTTCGAGGTGGACCTGAGGCCATGGACGGAGAGATGGTGATTGTCTTTCTAATTTTTGTGATTTTTTCTGTAAATAGCAGTTTTACAGGAGGCTTTTCATCGATGGCATTATTTTCTAGTGCGTAGGTAGATGCCAAGTATTAAATTTAATAAGAGGTTCATTTCATGCCTTAAGTCGTTTCAGGTGTTCATAGTTTCGCTTCGTCCTCACTTCTTTGTGTCTATAGCGGACATTTTGGCTTGAGTATCGACAGCCATGTGCCCAAGCGAAACTCAAGGGTCAAGCGACGGCGGCGCCCCCCACATCGCCGCACCGCCCTACATGAACCGCCGCCCGTCCCAACCATCGTTTTCAATCTTGTTCGTCCATCCAGCTCGTCGATCCCATCCGAACGGTCGATCTACCGACCACAAAAATTGGCATCAATTCCAAGCCAGGAGAAATTTGTCCCTCACTGCTCCAACAATTCCTACCTCCCGCATACCTACCTCCCTCCCGTTTGAGCCAGTCGCTATGACTTCATGATTTTCCTGGTTCATCCACCGCTGCGCGCTTTGCATTGAACAGAGAATATCGTCCACGTGAGCCCAGCAACATAGAAACACAGCGAACACAGCAAACAGAATCTAGCAACATAGCCGCAACATACAGTGAGACGATCATACAAGCTAAGCTAAGAACCAGCACAGGTTTCGCTAGTTCGCTGTGCTGCAGCTGGAGGTAACGGCAGAAGGTGTTTCTTTATTTAAGCGTAATACTCAGTAACGAATCGTCTTTCCCCCTCTGCACTCGCTTCTACTAGTTCGCTCAAGCCAGCCATCAAAACACTCCAGCAGCAGAACCGCCTACGCGTTACGAGCCGGCTACCCGTTTATCCGCCATGGCGCGTCGCCTTTCTCCCTGGGGATTGTCGCTGGTCCTGCTTGCGCTTCTCGCGGCGCTTCTTCCGGAGCTGTGCGCCGCGGACGATGATGGCAGCTCTCGCCAGTACGATGGGAAGACCGGCGCGAAGAAGCTTATAGCGGAGATGAAGAAGAAAGGCTACAACACTGCGCTGTCGCTTTTCGAATCGACAGGTACTCTTGAGAATTACAAGGTTAATCTAACGGTACTCCTATTGAGGCTCCTCAGTTCTTTATAGCGGAGATGAAGAAGAAAGGCTACAACACTGCGCTGTCGCTTTTCGAATCGACAGGTACTATACTCCTGCTGCGATCCTCTTTTCCCTGCTCGTCATTTTTCCCTTTATTTCTTTTCCCCTCTCGCGTCCTTCCCCCGGTCAACCCGCGTTTTCCTTTACGACTCGCGCCACCATCCTCCCGCCCATGGACGAGGCCTTAGCAAAGCACTCTCCGCCCGTCCGTCCCCCTACATTCTGCCCCCGTTCCCTCCATCCTCCCCCAGGCGACTTCTGAGACGTCTCAACCTCGCGGCGACCATGGGCGTGGCCTTTGCAAAACTCTCTCCGCCCGTCCGTCCCCCTGCATACTGCCCCCATTCCCTCCATCCTACCCCAGGCGGTGCAAAGGAGTTCCCTGCAACAATGAGTTACTACCGCCTCACCGTTCTCGCGCCCACCGACGAGGCCATTCTGCCCCCTCTCGTTCAATGTGCCCCGATTTGCCTCCAGGTATCGTAAAGGAGCTCCCTGCAGAAATGAGTTACCACCGCCTCACCGTCCTCGCGCCAACAGACGAGGCGTCGTCAACAGACGAGGCGCGAGGCTAAGGCGCCAACAGACGACGCCTTTGCCTCGCGCCCACAGACGACGCCTTTGCCTCGCGCCCACAGACGACGCCTTTGCCTCGCGCCCACAGACGACGCCTTTGCCTCGCGCCCACAGACGACGCCTTTGCCAAGCTCCCTGCTCGTCCTCCCCCCTGCATACTCCCCCCATCCTCTCCATCCTCCCCCAGGAATAGCCAAGGAGCTTCCAGAAGCAATGAGCTACTACCGCCTCACCGTTCTCGCGCCCACAGACGAGGCATTTGCGAAGCTTTCTTCGAGCGTGACCAAGGGGCTGAGCAAGGCGGCGATGCGGGATATCACGATGCTTCATATTGTGAAGGGGAGAAAGACCGCTGCTACTTTAATTCGCATGCAGAGGGAGCACGAGGTACGATATTCTGTACTCTGTTATACTCAGTATAAGCTTCTCCGAGTTGAAATTGGTAGGCTCCAATCGCTCCAAGCTCCCCGAGAGCGTGACCAAGGGGCTGAGCAAGGCGGCGATGCGGGACATCACGATGCTGCATACTGTGAAGGGGAGGAAGACGGCTGCTACCCTCATTCGCATGCAGAGGGAGCACGAGGTGAGTGCTATAGAAAGCTTCTCCGCATTGCAATGTGTACTGCTAACCTGCTACAAGCCACATTGTGAAGGGGAGGAAGGATGCCGCTACCCTGATTCGCATGCAGAGGGAGCACGAGGTAAGTAGAGAGACGTTGCACCCTCGTTCTCCCTTGCACTGCTGAAGGGGCTGGGCAAGGCGGCGATGCGGGATATCACGATGCTGCACACCGTGGTGGTTTTTGAGAATTCTCAAAAACCAGCTCGATGCTGCACATCGTGAAGGGCAGGAAGACCGCATCCGCACATGCAGATCGTATCCTGAGCTCCTGGATATCCCATGCAGCATATGTCAGTGTGAATATGTCACAAGACCAGTTGGCACATTGTGAAGGGAAGGAAGACCGCAACCGCACATGCAGGCAGCACGAGGTACGATGTTCTGTACTCTTTATAAGCTGCTCTTTACTAGTCAGGCAGTGTATGTCTTGCCCGCCCTCCCCCTCTCCTCTCCCTTTTCCTTCCCTCTCCCCTCCCAGTGGCGCACTCTCTAATACCGGAGAAGCAGGGCCGGTCAAACCAGTCAATTTGTGTGTGACTTTCCCTCTCTTCCCCTCTCTTTCCCTCTCCTCCCCTCTCTTTCCATCCCCTCTTCCCTCCTCTCCCTTTTCCTCCCCTCTCCCCTCCCAGTGGCGAACGCCCTCCAAGGCCAGAGAAGCAGGTCTCTTCAAAGCCACAGAAACGAAAGTCAAGCCGGTCAACTCGGTGAAGCCAGTCAAGCTGTGTATGTGGTTCCCTCCCTTCCCCCTTCTCCCCTCTCCAGTGGCGACGTCCTTCCAAGAACGGAGAAGCGGGCCTCTTCAAAGCCACAGAAACGAAAGTCAAGCCGGTCAACTCGGTGAAGCCAGTCAACCAAGTCAACCTGTGTGTGCGTTTCCCTCTCTTCCCCTCCCTCTCACCTCCCAGTGGCGAACTCCCTCCAGGAACGGAGAGGCAGGGCTTTTCAAAGCCACAGAAACGAAAGTCAAGCCGGTCAACCCAGTCAAGCCAGTCAAGCTGTGTATGTGGTTCCCTCCCTTCCCCTTTCTCCCCTCTCCAGTGGCGAACGCCCTCCAAGAACGGAGAGGCAAGTCTCTTCAAAGTCACGGAAGCAAAAGTCAACCCAGTCAAACTAGTCTTACGCTTCCCTCCCCTCCCTTTTATCCTTCCCTTCCCTCTCCCTTCCAGTGGCGAACTCCCTCCAAGAACGGAGAAGCAGGTCTCTTCAAAGCCACAGAAGCAAAAGTCAAGCCGGTCAAACTACATGCAGAGGGCGGCAAGAACGTGACTATAACGAAGCCGGATTCGGTGCTGCTGACGATCTCTGCCGTCCACGGCATCGACAAGGTGATCATTCCGGGCGGCAAGCTGACCGGGGCGAAAAAGAAGCTGTCGCTGAAGGAGTGTTTGGATCTGAGCAATGGGGAGGAGGACTTGGATTATGACAACTAGATCATGGGTGGGGGGGGTGGGGAAGAGGAGTCCGATCTCGACGCGCCTTGGAAAAGAAACTGCCGCTGAAGGAGTGTTTGGATCTGAGCAATGGAGAGGAGGACATGGATTATGACAAGTAAGCAAAGGGGAGGACGGAGATGAGGAGGGAAGTTCGAGTTGCCTGAAGGGAAGCAGTGTTTGGGTGTGAGCAATGGAGAGGAGGACATGGATTATGACAAGTAGATGTTGGGTGGGGGGGTTGAAGAGGCTGACCTTGAGGCGCCGTGGAAAAGAAGCTGTTGCTGAAGCAGTGTTTGGATGTGAGCAATGGAGGAGGAAGACTTGGATTATGACAAGTAGACCGCCGCTGAAGAACGTACCGTCTGTACGCGCACCGGGGCAGAAAAGAAGCTGTCTGTCGCTGAAGCAGTGTTTGGTTTGGATGTGAGCAACGGAGAGGAGGACTTGGATTATGACAACTAGGCTGTTGGGGGGGAGAGTGAGGAGTCTGACATTCAGACATGTCTCAGTGAGCTGCGTGCGTGCAGTAGGCTTAAAGCACAGCCTACTCGGTTGACTCGAACAAAAATCGATTTTGACAACTCGGTTGTTGGTGGGGAGAATGAGGAGTCTGAAATTGAGGCGCTATGGAAAAGAAGCTGCTGCTGGAGTGCTTGGATCTAAGCAATGGAGAGGAGGATGAGGATTATTACAAACAAAACAGGAGGAGACTACCGTATTGCTGAGGCGCCTAAAAGGAGGGGCTGTTTGGATACGAGCAACCAACCAGTGAAGTGGCTGCGGTTCTTCTGCACGGTTGCTGTTCAGTGCGAAGGTGACTAGAAATATTTTATTTGCAGAAGCGTGGTAATAAATTGCGATAGAAGGATGATGGTGGTGGAGGGTATAGGCAAATCGTGTATTTCACAAGGCTCGGGGCTGCGTTGTTTTCCATCTATATGCAATGCTACCGGTTTTTATAAAAAAACAAGAAATGAGCAATATGAAATGAACTCCTACAAATGAGCGTCCACACAAGAGCTATACCTTCCAGACGACACTCTCCACCAACTTGGGCCACCTATATTCTCCTGGCTACTGCTAGACTCTTCTTTACAAACTCCTTTGCTCACGTCGCCTTTTACCGTAACTCCCTGTACAGCTATCAACACCACAGTATAAACTCCTCGCTACAGTCACCTACGTTACACCTCATTGTCTCAATACACTCCCCTTCGTTTCAAGCACCTTCGGTCTTATCACATCGTTCACTCCGTGCACAACCACCGATCTCAGCATCACAACATTCCCCCTCGTTACAGTCACCCTCGGCCCTTTATCGGTGTACACTCTAACACTCCAGTTCCCCTTAAGAGACGCCTTCTTAAGCCGCTGAGTGCCGTTGAACGCAAGTGTGACGTACTGGGAAGGGAGGGGGTTGGGGAGGGGAGAATAAAATGAGCAGCATGGGTAGGATATGTAGGAACAGAACGCAAAGCACTGTCACTACCGTTAGCTTACCTGGTGGCCTCTCCGCTGCAAGACCAGCCTCGCCAGCCGTTTCTTGCCCTTAACGAAGTTCAGAAGCGTCCCGTTCCGCAGAAGCTGCACGTCGCTCCCTAGTAGCTGCTGCGTAGCAAACAGTCTCCTCTCCTCTCCCCTCACCTGCCCGCAGCCCTCACCTGGTGGCCTCTCCGTTGGGAGACCAGCTTCGCCAGCCGTTTCTTGCCCGTAACGAAGTTCAGAAGTTCTGGAAGAAGGCCTGGAGAGACGGGGTGGGTTGAACAAACGTGTGTGAACGGTTGTGTTTCTAAGAGTAAACGCACGAGGCGCAGCGCAAATGGCGGCGTTGGACGGGGCGAATAAAGTGGCGTCGCAAGAGATTCGCATTGCTGAACAGCTCAACTTGGGCTCCGAACCGCCTCAAAATGCGGGATTCTAGTAGATCTCGTAAATATCAATCTGAACGGTCCCACTGGGATAAATCAGTGATATATTTCTGATGTTATTCGCACCTGTGTCATTCAAAATCTCTGAGAAAAGCTCGAAACCGTTCGACCTAAGACCTCGGACGAGTTGTCTGGTTACTACCGAGCCATCATATTTCGCGAGCCCCCCGTAACTAGTGCAGGATCCGATTCCATAAGAGAAAGTAGAGGATTTTGAAAGGAGGTGTTTCGCTTCGCCAAAGAAACCCCTGTTAACTGTCGCATGGAAGCACACGAGAAAAATGATGACCTGTAACCCCAGGAACATTGCTAGTCGTCCAGTATCTACTATGTTAGCCTACTAAACCCGTGCTTTCTCTTCGAAATTCTGCCTTTTTTCATGGGCCACAGCGCATTCCTGAACGCTCTCACTGATCCAATTCTTTGCTCTTCTTCATAAGTTCACTATGCTGGTTGGATCCTCGACTAAGTCTGAGTAGCTATTCTGGAGCGCGAAAAAATACCGGAAAGAGGGATCAACAAGAACCAGAGGGAAAAGATTGATAGAAGTTACCACCTTTAGGTTACCAGCCGATTACATAGATTCAGCTGCTGTGCTGCAAGGATATCCGGTTCGCCTAAACTCGTCCCCGCATTTCGCTTGCCAGATTCTGCATGTTCGCGACGATCAAGATTTCGCTAGATGCAGTGTGCTTCGTGGCTCGCAACGCAATCAACTTTGCGTGGTTTGTCTTGCACAAGAAGACGGAACGCGCCGCCGTCGACATTTGTGATGTGTTTGTCATGGAGCGGCTGCGATTTCGCGAGTTCCTTCCTTACTTGAAACAGATTCTGGAGTTTGCGATGAAATGCGACAAGTTTGCGCTTCGCTGTGGTAACCGGATGTCGTAGTGTCGGTGACGAGACACAACATTCGTGCGGTTTCCGATTGCAATGCGTGGCTGACGGCTGCCAGTTGCGTGCTGACGCTTCCACGTCAAGTATGTAACGTGGCCTCGTTCGGTATCGCTGACCCCGTTGCAGTGCGTCGCATACACTGCATATGAACAAAGATATTTGTGCTGTCAGCGTGCCATATCCTAATTTATATGAAACAAGTCGATTAATCAATCGTCTGTAGTTATGAATCACATTATATAGGCGAAATGATATTTCTTGAAATATTATAAATATATATATATATATGATTATTTGATTACACAGCACGATACATCGTTCAACGTAGAATCAGCCGTGTTTACATGTCTCACCTTTTCACTGTTAGATTTCACTCATGCCTGCAACGAAAGATTTCTGCTCTTTACAGTCACACGAGGTCGTGGCTAGCTCCATGCCTTTTTTGGTTCGTTCCCTCGCGGGGAAGGGTACCCGCCATACCAAATGTATTCCCCAACCATGGACAAGCCAAATCACCGCGGCGCGACTGTGATAACCAGGCCAAAGTGCCACGTATGCTGGCCTGGGCATGAGTGGTTCGGGACAGGATACAGAACGCCCGTCTGGACCAGCCCACCCCAGCCACATCGCATCACCACGTGCTTCTCGGAATTGCCGCGCCGCCCGGGATGGACGCCCTCCTCACGAGTGCTGCATGGCATTTCACCAGGGTCCTCCCACACCACCACACCAAACCGCATGGACAAACTCGAGGCAAATGTGCGGCTCGAGATTGCTACATCCAAGGCGTTCATCATCCGGCTGCTGTTTTGCAGCCATCGATCCCCAGGCTAACCAGTCTCAAAGCCCCCATACCGTCTCAGTCATCATCACCCTCCAAAAACCACAACCGAACCCATTCCCTTTTCTCCCCTCCTTGTTAGCGCTGAGACGCACTACTTCACATCACCCACACACACTGCTTTTCAGCCCGTCAGTCAAGTTTCTGCTTCCGCCCGCTGCGGAACACCAAATTTTGCGGTCGACCAATGCTGGCTCCGTTTTCTTCGCCCTGCCGCCTGAGTCTTAGACCGCAGCTCGCGTGGTTTTCGTCGCCCTGCTGCTTGTGTCTTTGACCTCAGCGAGCGTGGCGGCAAGTGCCGCAGCTAGTTTGCTTTGAAGTATCTCAGACTCTCAGACCGGAGGTTACCTGTTTCGTTGCGAGCCTGTCTCTAGGGGAAGCTGTCCTCGTCGAGGTTGAATTAGCACCCTGCTTTCCGAGATTCTGTTGTCCTGTTTTCGTAATTGCAAAGAGAAAGGTTTTTTAATCGGAGTCATTTTCCAGAGTACTCTCCCAGCTTACTCAGAAAAGTCGCTGAAAATGGTGAGCTACGTCGATGGGCCAGAGCATTCGCCTTCCGTCGGCGGGCGACTCATAGGCGGTCGCTACCTTCGCCTGCGAAAGATCGGAACCGGGTCGCAAGGCGACGTATGGGAGTGTGAGGACATTCGCACGTCGCACCGCGTCGCATGCAAGTCCTTCTCCCCGTCCACGCGACGAACCAAATCCTCCGTGGCCGTCCTCGATATAGACGCGGAGATGCGCGCGTTACAAACCCTCGGCGGGCACCCGAACGTCGTACGCCTTATAGACTTCTTCGTCGATGCGACAGAAGTCCATATCATAATGGAACTTGTACAGGGCGGGGATTTGTGCACAGAAATCTGCGAGAACGGGCCGCTGCCGGAGCCGCTGGCTGCTACAGTGCTGCGTCAGCTCGCATCCGCTGTCGCTTTCTGCCACGCCAACGGCGTCGTGCATCGCGATATCAAGCCGGAGAACGTGCTGTTGGTGCGGCCGGTGCAGGAGAAACCAGAAGATTGGGAAAGTGAAGGGCTGGATAATTGTCACCAGCAACAGAAGCTCCAGCCGCAGCAGCTTCTGGATTCGTGCCCGTTACCTCTCAGTTTTGTCACACCAGAGGCGAGAGAAAATGCGCTGCTACGAAAAGGGGGCCTTCGTGGCGAGCAGGAAAAGAGTGCGATCATGGAGATGGCTTTGAGGAACAGGACGAATATCGCAGCACTCTTATCGAGTACGGACCTGGTAACGGGGCAGACCTGCGCCGATATAAGCCCGAACGTCGTTCCGCAGAATCTGTCGCCGCTTCCTGACCTCCAGTCACCGCCTCCTCATTCCCCCGCAGCTACTCCCAAATCAAGCCCGGTTCGGCCGTCCGTGTTTTCGCGCTTCGGGAGGCTAAAGATCCAGCAGGCCTTGGCGCATCGGCTAGGCCACGTGGGCGCGGGGCGGGGGATTGTCGGAGTGAAGCTGGCGGATTTCGCGCTGTCGACGACCGTGGATGGAGGGATGTCGGGGCAGAAGCTCGGGCGGGGAGCGGGCACGCGCATGTACATGGCTCCTGAAATGAAGCAGCGCGGTTCGGGACGGGGCTCAGGAGAGGGGAGAGGTGGAGAGGGAGGAGGTGGAGGGAGGAGAAGTGGCGTGACGGATGGTGCGCATAAGGATGTAACGGGAGGTGGAGAAGGGGAAATAGGAGGAGGAAAAGAACATTTTCGGTATTATGGGTGTAAGGCCGATGTTTGGAGCTTAGGAGTGACGCTGTGCGTGATTCTAACGGGGCTCATTCCGGTTTTCGACCAATCAGGCTGCTTGGATCTAGGCGACCCAGTCTGGAGAAGGGTTTCGTGGGCGGCGAAGGATCTCGTCTGTAAGATGCTCCAGGTGGACCCGAATCAACGGCTGAGCTCGTTCGAGGTTCTGGAGCACCCGTGGCTGAATCAGAGGGCGGTTCGGATGAGAGACATTGCCACCCGGTTCCCGAACCTGCTCTCCCCGCTGCTTCCTGCCCCTGCTGTAAAGTCGCTGCGGGCTTGATGCGCCCACAACGCAAGGGTTGAAAGACATTGCCACTCGGTGCCCGAACCTGCTCCCTCTGCTTCCTGCTCTCTCCTCTGCTTCCTGCTCCTGCTGTAAAGTCGCTGCGGGCTTGATGCTCTCACAACGCAAGGGTTGAGAAACGTTGCCAGTCGGTGCCCGAACCTGCTCTCTCCGCTGCTTCCTGCTCCTGCCGCAAAGACGCTGAGGGCATGACTTTACCCCTGCATCCTGCTCTCCCCGCTGATTCCTGTCCCTGCTGCGGAGACGCTGAGGACTTGATGCCACTACCTGCATTTCCCTCTCCAACACCCACGCAGCCACGCAGCCCCTCACATACACGCTATTGCGGCTCCTCTAACAAGGTTGAGGGCCCATTTACACTCCGGCGGGGTTGAGAGGGGTTGAGAGACATTGTTATACGGTGTCTGAACCTGCTCTCCCCTCTGCTTCTTGCTCCTGCTACCAAGACATCAAGGGCTTGACACATACTTTTATGGATGGCCCTTATACTCTTTGCCTCGTCTTTGCCCAGCTGAGTCAATTCTCATATTACCAACTGCTTCCTGCTCCTGCTACCAAGACACTTGATGGCTTGACACATACTTTTATGGATGGCCCTTATACTCTTATACTTCCTCTCCCTTATACTCTTTGTCTCTTCTCTGCCCTTCGGACTACGCCTCCTTCACCCTTCACTTGCTTTCCGAAATTCACCCTTCACCTGATTTTCGCCGGTCACCATTCACCTGCTCTCTGCCGTTCACCCTCGACCTCCTCTCCCCTTTTGGCACCACATACCCATACCAGTTACCTCCCTTTTCCCCTCTATTGCTGCTTCTGCACTGCTGCTCCAATAAGGAAGGTGGCTTCCACAAGCTTTTGCATAAGTTTTGAGGTCGGGGTTTATACGGAGAATGGTTGGCCTGACCAGAGATTTTAATACGGGTTGATCAGGTTGTGAGAAGTTGTTGGGAAGGAAATAAAGGGGTTGTTGAATAAGCTATGGGGCGTAGCAGCACTTGATGTCACTATACTATTCACACTGTCAATGTGATCAATACATGTACATGCAAGCTTTATTGCTTTTCATCCTGATAATTTGAACTTATATTGCAAACCAAACAAAAATTCCTTACATGTCATTTCACTTAAGATTCATGGCACATAGGACGCGTAACATGATTATTGGCAAGTTTTAGGTTGTAGCGAAACCATGCTAACTTGAGGCCATCTCAAGCCTGCGGTAATATAATTTGCATCAGTGCAGTTCATTCTTCCACGTAATTGATCGTTCACCACATGTTTGCACCGCCTGATAGGGCCGCGTGACAGGAAGGTATCGTTAGCGTTCCTTTCGGCTTCACGCGTATAGCAGCGTTCACGTGACACAGGTGACCGAAGCTATGGCGATCGCGTCACAATTAGCTGCCGTGACTTCGAACGTCCCAGGAAGCCTAAATCGCGGCTCACTGCAATCGCTGCGGCCCGCACAGGTACGTACAGGGTAGAAGGTAGGAAGCTACGTCGCAGGACGTCGCAGGAAGGTCCGGCTTGGGAGACTACGACGCAACATGAATCACACAACGATTAGGCTGTCACGAAATCGTTTCAAGAATTATGAGACGCGGGCTTTAAAATCTGTGACATTCCGAAATCGTTTGTGGCTCCTAATTACGTGACATTACCCACTGTTTTCTTTTACTTGCCGTTCAGGCATCTCGCTTGGCGATTCCACTCCGTCGGCGTCAAATTCAAGTGACAGCGTCCCAGGACCAGCAGCGGCAAGGTATGCAAGTTAACAGAGTTGAACAGATGATTGAGTAGCAGTAGCAGAGTCAGAATCAGAAGCAGAAGCAGAAGCAGCAGCAGCAGCAGAAGCAGAAGCAGCAGCAGAAGCAGAAGCAGCAGCAGAAGCAGCAGCAGAAGCAGAAGCAGAAACAGAAGGTGGACACCTTTCTTTTTTCCCCACCCTCAACCCCCCTTATCCATCACTCCCCACCAAAATCAACTGGTGATGAGCGCAGCAAAATGGTGCTTCACGCTATCTCCTCCATTTACCTCAGCCACCCTCCCCTCCTCCCCTCCTCGACTCTCCTCTCTCCCCCCTTAACTCTCTCCCCTCTTTGGCTGCCCCCTCCATTCTTCTTCCCAGCACAACCAACCATCCCGGTGATGAGCGCAGCAAGGAGGTGCTTGAGGCCTTCTTTCCCCTCCATTCACCTCTGTCCCCGCCACCCTCCTCGCCCCACCTCCCCTCCCTCACCCCCTCCATTCTTCTTTCCAGCACAACCAACCATCCGGTGATGAGTGAAGCAAGGAGGTGCTTGAGGCCTTCTTTCCCCTCCATTCACCTCTGTCCACACTCCCATTCACCCCCCCACCCACCCCCTTTCCATCACTCCCCAGCACAACCATCCATCCGGTGATGAGCTGAGTGCAGCAAGGTGGTGCTGGAAGATTCCTGCCCCATGTGATTGAAGAAGGGTTTTGAGACGTCTCAAAACCCTTCTTCAATCTGATGAGCTGAGTGCAGCAAGGTGGTGCTGGAAGATTCCTGCCCCATGTGATTGAAGAAGGGTTTTGAGACGTCTCAAAACCCTTCTTCAATCTGATGAGCTGAGTGCAGCAAGGTGGTGCTGGAAGATTCCTGCCCCATGTGATTGAAGAAGGGTTTTGAGACGTCTCAAAACCCTTCTTCAATCTGATGAGCTGAGTGCAGCAAGGTGGTGCTGGAAGATTCCTGCCCCATGTGATTGAAGAAGGGTTTTGAGACGTCTCAAAACCCTTCTTCAATCTGATGAGCTGAGTGCAGCAAGGTGGTGCTGGAAGATTCCTGCCCCATGTGATTGAAGAAGGGTTTTGAGACGTCTCAAAACCCTTCTTCAATCTGATGAGCTGAGTGCAGCAAGGTGGTGCTGGAAGATTCCTGCCCCATGTGATTGAAGAAGGGTTTTGAGACGTCTCAAAACCCTTCTTCAATCTGATGAGCTGAGTGCAGCAAGGTGGTGCTGGAAGATTCCTACCCTGCTGCACTCATAAGATTTCTGCCCCATAAACTCTTCCCCTTCCCCTACCGCCTCCCCCACCCGCCCCTATCCATCGCTCCCCAGGAAGTGATGAGCGCAGCAAAGTGGTTTTGAGAATTCTCAAAAACACTCTGCAGCATCAGGAAGTGATGAGCGCAGCAAGGTGGTGCTGAAAGATTTCTACCTTGCTGCACTCAGCTCCATATACTCTTCCCCTACCCCTACCGCCTCCCCTCACCCACCCTCAGTCCATCACTCCCCAGGAAGTGACGAGCGCAGCAAAGTGGTGCTGAAAGATTCCTACCTTGCTGCACTCAGCTCCATATACTCTTCCCCTTCCCCTACCGCCTCCCCCCACCCGCCCCTATCCATCGCTCCCCGGGACGGGATGAGCGCCGCAAAGTGGTGCTTGACGCTCTCTCCTCCATATAGTCCCCCATCCCCCTTTCCCGCCTCCCCCTCAACCCCCCACGCCCGCCCACCTGTATTTATCTCCCCCCAGGAAGTGATGAGCGCAGCAAAGAGGTGCTGGAAGATTTCTGCCCCATGAACTCTTCCCCTTTCCCTACCGCCTCCCCCCACCCACCCTCTATCTATCCATCTCCCCCCAGGAAGTGATGAACGCAGCAAATAGGTGCTGGAAGATTTCTCCTCCATATCCCCCCCTTCCCCCCCTACTTCCTCATCCCCTTCTCCCCCCTCTCCCTCACGCGCTTTCCCCCCCACTCCCTCACCCCCGCCGCCTCCCCCTCAACCCTCAACCCCCACCCGCCCCTGTCCATCACTCCCCAGCAAGTGATGAGCGCAGCAAAGAGGTTCTGGACGCCTTCTTTTCTCGGCAAGGCCGTAGCAGAGGTGTTTTTCCTCCCCTCTACCCCTCCCCCCTCGTACGTCACTCCCCAGGAAGTGATGAGCGCAGCAAGGAGGTTCTGGACGCCTTCTTTCTCGGCAAGGCCGTAGCAGAGGTGGTATCAGAGCGGGTGGGGTCGGCTGTGGGAGAGATTCTGAGTGAGGTGGGGAGGCGGCAGGCGGAGCAGCAGCAGCAACTGAAACAGTTTCAGGTGAGCTGGTGTGTCTAGAGCAAGTGAATCCAGAGGTGGTATTGGTTTTTGTATGAGCGGGTGGGGTTGGCTGTGGGAGAGATTTTGAGTGAGGTGGGGAGGCGGCAGGCGGAGCAGCAGCAGCAGCAACCGAAACAGTTCCAGGTGAGCCGATGTGTCTCGAGCAAGTCAATCAGAGGAGGCATTGGTTGGTAGGAGTGAGATTCAGAAGTGGGGAGATGGCAGGCGGAGCAGCAGCAGCAACTGAAACAGTTTCAGGTGAGCCGATGTGTCTCGAGCAAGTCAATCAGAGGAGGCATTGGTTGGTAGGAGTGAGATTCAGAAGTGGGGAGATGGCAGGCGGAGCAGCAGCAGCAGCAACTGAAACAGTTTCAGGTGAGCCGATGTGTCTCGAGCAAGTCAATCAGAGGAGGCATTGGTTGGTAGGAGTGAGATTCAGAAGTGGAGAGATGGCAGGCGGAGCAGCAGCAGCAACCGAAACAGTTCCAGGTGAGCCGATGTGTCTCGACCAAGTCAATCAGAGGAAGCAATGGTTGGTAGGAGTGAGATTCAGAAGTGGGGAGATGGCAGGCGGAGCAGCAGCAGCAACTGAAACAGTTTCAGGTGAGCCGATGTGTCTCGAGCAAGTCAATCAGAGGAGGCATTGGTTGGTAGGAGTGAGATTCAGAAGTGGGGAGATGGCAGGCGGAGCAGCAGCAGCAACTGAAACAGTTTCAGGTGAGCCGATGTGTCTCGAGCAAGTCAATCAGAGGAGGCATTGGTTGGTAGGAGTGAGATTCAGAAGTGGGGAGATGGCAAGCGGAGCAGCAGCAGCAACCGAAACAGTTCCAGGTGAGCCGATGTGTCTCGACCAAGTCAATCAGAGGAGGCAATGGTTGGTAGGAGTGAGATTCAGAAGTGGGGAGATGGCAGGCGGAGCAGCAGCAGCAACTGAAACAGTTTCAGGTGAGCCGATGTGTCTCGAGCAAGTCAATCAGAGGAGGCATTGGTTGGTAGGAGTGAGATTCAGAAGTGGGGAGATGGCAGGCGGAGCAGCAGCAGCAACCGAAACAGTTCCAGGTGAGCCGATGTGTCTCGACCAAGTCAATCAGAGGAGGCAATGGTTGGTAGGAGTGAGATTCAGAAGTGGGGAGATGGCAGGCGGAGCAGCAGCAGCAACTGAAACAGTTTCAGGTGAGCCGATGTGTCTCGAGCAAGTCAATCAGAGGAGGCAATGGTTGGTAGGAGTGAGATTCAGAAGTGGGGAGATGGCAGGCGGAGCAGCAGCAGCAGCAACTGAAACAGTTTCAGGTGAGCCGATGTGTCTCGAGCAAGTCAATCATAGGAGGCATTGGTTGGTAGGAGTGAGATTCAGAAGTGGGAAGGTGCCAGGCGGAGCAGCAGCAGCAGCAACTGAAGCAGTTCCAGGTGAGCAACTGAGGCCTTATGCAGAGTAACAGAGGTTTTTTCTACAACCGGCATGTCTTCAAGCAAGTCAAGCCAGAGACTATGTTGGTAGGCAGGAGCGAGTGGGATCGGCTGTGGGGGAGATTCTCAGCGAAGTGGGGAGGCGGCAGACGGAGCAGCAGCAGCAACTGAAACAGTTCCAGGTGAGCTTTTGAGGTGTGATACAGAAGTGTTTTCTACTGGCCTGACTCGGATCTTTATCGGACTTGGAAGCAGCTTGCGTCTAACTCTCCACATATGGGAGAGTTAGCAGTGTTTGTTAAGCCAACACAGAGTGTATGTTGAATCAATTTGACTGTTTGTGCCATCTTCATTCACATCTGACAGGAGGAGGTGAAAGAGAGAGCAAGGGAGGCGTTGGAACGGGCAGCCAAGGATGCCAAACGATAAGCAGGATCTTGAGGTTGACATGGGGTTCTTCTGGTTAGCAACTGTACCTACCGCATGTTATTGGGTGACTGGTGTTTGAAGCCATATCAAAAACCCCTCCACCTCCATTGATGCGGGCACACTGGGTCTAGAAGATGAAACGTGCCAATACAAAGTAGCTGGCAGACCCTTACTGTTGCAGTGCGACTCAAATGTAAAGCACAGTACTACCATGTCAGCAGATAAAATAAATCTAATATATTCACAAAACGACCAACAATACAAGATTTGAGGATAAGCAATGGCTGCTAGAACAATCAATGGGTAATGTGAGAGCAAGGAGGTGTCTACTCTGACTGCCTACTTTCATGCACCTCCAGTCCATCCAGACAGACCTCATTCTGGTCCAGATTGAATCACGCAAAAGTCTCCTCTTTAGACTTTCCATGTCTCCGACTGCCTATACTCCCTCCAGGGATATTTCTTCTGGGAAAATAATGGACTCCCAGCAGCAGCAAGTGACCGTTTCCAGTCATTCTCTTTTCTTGCACAATAGAAGTGCCAGATTTTGGCATTCAAGGCTCAGTGGTAACGCTTGACGAGGTTTCTGCAACGGCTCTTTCCGTGAAGGTGACTCTGCCTGCAAATGCTCTCTGAACTGCTGCTTCCAGGCTCTCCTTCAGCAAATTCTCCCTGTCAACATCCTCGATAAGGTCACATCCCTGTACAAGTAAGTCCTCCTTATATCGAGTGCTGCCAGCGATGTCTGCTTGGACGTCCTCGTACAGATTCCGCACCGACTTGCGTGAAGCGCGGTACTTATGTACGAGCCGGCGTAAATTTCTGAGCCGTTGCATCCACTGCTTCTTTGAAGCTTGCTCTTGAGCTGCACGCTGGCGTTTAACTGAAACGGAAACCGTCAACAGATAATGCAGGCAGGGGGTTGGGTCAATAAACGAACGGCTCAGGCTTACAAACAGGGTTTAAACGTCTAACTAAGACGGGTGCCGAAGACAAAGCTGCTAAAATGCTTCGCTGGGTGGAGTATAATAATTAGAAAAACGGAATGCTATTAAATGAAGGGATTGGATGTAACAGGACTCACTTTGCCACGCGTGCCCGTTATCGCGCTTTGCCGCCATGAGTAGACGCATGCGAAGACACGCGGAACGCATGAAGAGCGTCGGATTCCGGAATGGGACGGAGCGATCGGCTAGACGATGAAGCTGTGCAATCTGCCGGGTTTGACCTCCGTTGAGGGAGACTCCGTTAGGATACCCTCCGTTGAAATCAAGTTCAACTGCGACGAGCGCCATGGTAAACCTCTAAACCTTTCAACGAATCAATCAACAAATTAAGGTGGGATTGTAGCTGAAAGAATAGATACTAATCAGGCCATGATCGTGTGAAGCGTAATGATCGAAGAGCAGCTGCTTTCAGGCTACCATAGGGAGAGAACGGAAGAGATATGGCTTCATTTCTGAACATCATCCAGCCTAATAAATACTAGAGGAATGAGCGATCACAAACCCATGGTGGTTGAGAGTTCATGGATGGATCAATCGTTCAGACATGGTATGCTTGGGTGCTTTTGCTAGTTCTGGCGATTATGTGGAAGCAGGGAACCCAGCCAGACAGGATTTATGGAAACGAATTCTGTCATCGGTAAGGTCAAGGACCAGAAAGCGTCAGCTCCACGGAAGGTGGAAATTTGGCGTGGCGGATGGGGAAGGGGAGGGGGGACGGGGAAGAGAGTGCTTGGCTGCAGAGACAGGGTGCTGTAGGTTTTGGGGGTGTGCAGGGGAGTGAGGAAGTGAGGGAGAGGTCGCGTGCGCTTCAAGTTCTCCCGACAAGTCCCGACTCCCGACCTCCGTTGACCATGCGGAGCCCGCGCAGATAGCTCCCTTCCGCGCAAGTTTCTCAGTGATTGACAAGATTGGATGGGCGAGCCGCGGGATGTCCCAGGCCACACATTTTTGGCGGCTCTCTGGGTTCAGGGTTTGTGGAAATGCGATTGAGCTGGAACATTTTATGAAACGTGGTGCGGTTCCTAGTGTTGATCTTTTATCAGCTGAAAGTGTATCGAGGATATCGCGTGCCTAGCGTAACCCGGGCGTGTGACATCTCCACGAAAACCACACTTCAAAACGAAGTTCGCCGACATTCTAGTTTCCATTCGCCACGCACAAGCTTCAGATTCTTTGCCCCGAACCCGCCACCTCGACATGTATCCACGTGGATCCCCGACACGGTGACGCCAAATGTGGTCCCCCGGACCCCCGCTGGGTCGCAGATGTGCAATCCAGATCGGTGGTCCCACCCACCCCCATCAGCTTCCTGGTTTCGCTCACTCGTCCAGCTCACCCGATTGGACCACAGGGAACTCCAGCTCATGACCACCATTTCTCATGCAGAGTGCCCAGGCAATCCAACCAGAACCAGAGTCTGCATTTCCAGATTTCTGAAATCTTGTTTTGCTTCAGGCAAGGCAGAAGAGATTCCTGTGACTTGCAGAAGTGCTTGGATCGCTGCTCGCTAATTACCACGCTATACAGCGTGATAGTCTTGCTCTCTGGTTTGGTATTTCCGAGCGAGATAGTTTCCTTGCGTGAATTGCGTAGCGTTCCGATTCGATCAGGTACATTACCATTGTCCGTCACCGCTGGAAGTTTCCCCGACCTGAACTCAGATCGACTCTGACGTTAGCGTTTCCCCTTTGCAGAGCCATGGCGAACCCGTTCCAGCGCTTGCTGACCGAGCTGCCGAACCCTGATGGCGGCTCCTTTGGCTCGTATTACAGCCTCCCCGCGCTCAACGACCCTCGCATCGGTACTTACTGATACGATCCCTTATGTTTTTTCTTATTTCTTTCGCCAATATATATTCAAACTTCCGTTTTCATGACTCGTTCCACCTGATGTCTGTTTCTTTGCCATGCAGATGAGCTGCCAATCTCCATTCGGTATCTTTTGGAGTCCGCCATTCGCAACTGCGATAATTTCCAGGTCATGGAGAAGGATATCGAAAAGATCCTGGACTGGGCCAACACCTCCCAGCACCAAGTCGAGATCCCGTTCAAGCCTGCGCGTGTCATCCTGCAGGTTCGTACTCGCTTCTCTCGTGTTGTTCGCCCTTTTTCGTTAAATTTAGTCGAATTTGTCGTCAGATTGCGCCGTATCGCGTGTTGCATTTCTTTGTGTATCAGGCCTGACGACTTTGTGTGTGGGAATTTCTGTGCCGTTACTGTTTGATCAGGATTTCACTGGCGTTCCCGCTGTTGTGGACCTTGCTGCGATGAGGGACGCCATGAAGGAGTCTGGCGGCGATCCGAATGCCATCAACCCTCAGGTGCCGTTCAATGATTGAAACTAATTATGCTGTTTTCTGTTGCTTTGACTCACCTAAGATTCAACATCAATTCGGCTCATGCTATCGCTTTTCACGCACATGTTGAACTTCATTAAAGCTGTACCGTTTGAATCCGTGAACTTGCTGCTGGTACGCGCCTAATGTTAATTACCGGCTCAATGCCATCCAATTATAGGTGCCTGTAGATCTGGTTGTCGACCATGTTTGCAATGCAGGAGCTTTCATCAACTCTGCAGCCTCCAGCTTTCCCTCGTTTTGAGAACTTTAGCCCTCATTCAGGTCCCAATTCTGTCCTACCGCAGGTCCCTGTGGATCTTATGATCGTCCTCTCGGTGCAAGTGGATTACGTAGGGGCGTTCAACGCGGTGAGCCTTCTGAGGCACCTCCAAATCTGTCCAACCCGTCCCTCTATTCCCTCCCCCCCCGCAACCCCCCCCCCCCTGCAAACCTCGCCCTTCTCCCCACTCCCCCCACCAGGTGCCAGTGGATCTGGTGATCGGCCACTCGGTGCAGGTGGACTACGGGGGGGTATCCAACACGCTGAGCCTTCTGAGGCGCCTTGGAGTCAATTCTGTCCTTCCCGCGCTTTCCCTCCCCCCTCTTCCCCTTCCCCTCCTCCCCCCTTTCCCCCACCAGGTTCCCGTGGATCTGGTGATCGACCACTCGGTGCAGGTGGACTACGCGGGGGCGTCCAACGCGCTGAGCCTCAACATGGAGCGCGAGTTCGAGCGCAACAGGGAGAGGTTCGCGTTTCTCAAGTGGGGCTCCAAGGCCTTCAGCAACATGCTCGTGGTCCCGCCTGGCGCTGGCATCGTGCACCAGGTGCGTTTTCTGGGTTTCAAGGTCTTCAGCAACAGGGAGAGGTTCCAAGGTCCTCAAGTGGGGCTCCAAGGAGTTCAGCAACATGCTCGTCGTGCCGCCTGGAGCTGGCATTGTTCACCAGGTGCGTTCTCTTGGTTAGCCTGCTCTTTCAGTGGGGTTCTTCGAAGTGCCTGGCGCTGGCATCATGGACCAGCTGAGTGCCTTGCTGATCCCTGGGGGGGGGTCTTTCAGGATGTTTTTTGGATTACCTGAAATTGGCATCGAGCACCAGTTAACTGCCCTGGCGGTCTTTGGGGGAAAGCTCTCAGGATGGTCTTTGGAGGACTTGGGGATGGCATCACGCACCAGGTGAGTCTCCTCGAATGACCTGGCCCTGCCATCGTGCATCGGGTGATGGCGCTGGCTGTTTTTGAAAGGGGCGCTCAGGATGGTTTGTTTGAGTACCTGCTGTTGGCATCATGCACCAGGTGACTTCTCTGGCTTCACCTGATCGCTCGTGATATGTACAGGATTACATCACTGGTGGGAAGAATTCATCCCCTTGCTCACATTGCATTGAGAATAATGGGCATTGGCAGTGTATGTGCGAAGCGCAGGTGAACCAGGAGTACCTTGCGCAAGCGGTGGTGATGGTCATCAACAGGCTCCTTATTTTTTTTCAGAACTCCCTGAAATTTCAGTGACGGTCGCATGTCCCTGCATTGCATGTGCAGGTGAATCTGGAGTACCTGGCACGGGTGGTGATGGACATCAACGGGCTGCTCTACCCCGACAGCGTTGTCGGCACCGACTCCCACACCACCATGATCGACGGGCTCGGCGTCGCAGGCTGGGGCGTGGGGGGCATCGAGGCCGAAGCAGTCATGCTCGGGCAGGCTCTTCAGTTTTCCAGGATTTCCACCAAATAGCACTGTCGCTTGTTCCTGTGGTGCATGTGCAGGTGAATCTGGAATATCTCGCACGGGTGGTGATGGACATCAACGGCCTCCTCTATCCCGACAGCGTTGTCGGCACCGACTCCCACACCACCATGATCGACGGGCTCGGCGTCGCAGGCTGGGGCGTGGGGGGCATTGAGGCCGAAGCAGCCATGCTCGGGCAGGCCATGAGCATGGTCCTCCCGCAAGTCGTGGGCTTTAAGCTCACGGGAAAACTCCAGCCGGGAGTTACCGCCACGGACCTCGTCCTCACGTGTACGCAGATGCTGAGGAAGCACGGCGTGGTGGGGAAATTCGTGGAGTTTTACGGGGAGGGGACGAGGGAGCTGTCTCTGGCGGACCGGGCGACGGTGGCGAATATGTCGCCAGAGTACGGGGCGACCATGGGGTTCTTTCCTGTGGATTCGGTGACGCTGCAGTATCTGAGGGTGACCGGGAGGGATGAGACGAAGCTGAAGCAGATTGAGACGTACATGCGCGCGAACAATCTGTTCATGGACCATACCACTGTGAGTTGACATCTTTTGTTTCAGCTGTGTATGCTGATTAGCACGGGGAGGGGACGAGGGAGCTGTCTCTGGCGGACCGGGCGACGGTGGCGAATATGTCGCCAGAGTACGGGGCGACCATGGGGTTCTTTCCTGTGGATTCGGTGACGCTGCAGTATCTGAGGGTGACCGGGAGGGATGAGACGAAGCTGAAGCAGATTGAGACGTACATGCGCGCGAACAATCTGTTCATGGACCATACCACTGTGAGTTGACATCTTTTGTTTCAGCTGTGTATGCTGATTAGCACGGGGAGGGGACGAGGGAGCTGTCTCTGGCGGACCGGGCGACGGTGGCGAATATGTCTCCTGAGTACGGGGCGACGATGGGGTTCCTTTCCTGTGGATTCGGTGACGCTGCAGTATCTGAGGGTGACCGGGAGGGATGAGACGAAGCTGAAGCAGATCGAGACGTACATGCGCACGAACAATCTGTTCATGGACCATACCACTGTGAGTTGACAATCTTTTGTTTCAGCTGTGTATGCTGATTAGCACGGGGAGGGGACGAGGGAGCTGTCTCTGGCGGACCGGGCGACGGTGGCGAATATGTCTCCTGAGTACGGGGCGACGATGGGGTTCTTTCCTGTGGATTCGGTGACGCTGCAGTATCTGAGGGTTACCGGGAGGGATGAGACGAAGCTGAAGCAGATCGAGACGTACATGCGCACGAACAATCTGTTCATGGACCATACCACTGTGAGTTGACAATCTTTTGTTTCAGCTGTGTATGCTGATTAGCACGGGGAGGGGACGAGGGAGCTGTCTCTGGCGGACCGGGCGACGGTGGCGAATATGTCGCCAGAGTATGGGGCGACGATGGGGTTCTTTCCTGTGGATTCGGTGACGCTGCAGTATCTGAGGGTTACCGGGAGGGATGAGACGAAGCTGAAGCAGATCGAGACGTACATGCGCACGAACAATCTGTTCATGGACCATACCACTGTGAGTTGACAATCTTTTGTTTCAGCTGTGTATGCTGATTAGCACGGGGAGGGGACGAGGGAGCTGTCTCTGGCGGACCGGGCGACGGTGGCGAATATGTCTCCTGAGTACGGGGCGACGATGGGGTTCTTTCCTGTGGATTCGGTGACGCTGCAGTATCTGAGGGTTACCGGGAGGGATGAGACGAAGCTGAAGCAGATCGAGACGTACATGCGCACGAACAATCTGTTCATGGACCATACCACTGTGAGTTGACAATCTTTTGTTTCAGCTGTGTATGCTGATTAGCACGGGGAGGGGACGAGGGAGCTGTCTCTGGCGGACCGGGCGACGGTGGCGAATATGTCGCCAGAGTATGGGGCGACCATGGGGTTCTTCCCGGTGGATTCGGTGACGCTGCAGTACTTGAGGGTTACGGGGAGGGATGAGACGAAGCTGAGGCAGATTGAGGCGTACATGCGCGCCAACCACCTGTTCATGGACCATGCAACCGTGATTTTGACTGTAGCTTCTCAAATTTGCATGCTGATCAGCCTAAACACCCCATCATGGACCATGGCACTGTGACAGGCATGTCTCATTGGCTCACCTGCAATCTACTCCCCTGCACCTTCCCCCCAGCACCTTCTCCCCTGCACCTTTCCCCCTGCACCTTCCCCCCTGCACCTTCCCCCCTGCACCTTTCCCCCTGCACCTTCTCACCTGCACCTTCTCACCTGCACCTTCCCCCCTGCACCTTCCCCCCAGCACCTTCCCCCCTGCACCTTCCCCCCTGCACCTTCCCCCTTGCACCTTCTTTCCTGCACCTTCTCACCTGCACCTTCTCACCTGCACCTTCTCACCTGCACCTTCTCACCTGCACCTTCTATCTTCATCCTGATTCAGCGCATCTGCCTGTGTCTTTCTGTGGATCCTTGCGTGTATCACCTCTCCCCGCCAGGCTGGTGTGTTTAGAGTCGACTCAAAACCCACCTGCACCTTCTACCTCCATCCTGATTCAGCGCGTTTGCCTGTGTCTTCCCTGTGGATCCTTGTGTGCATCACCTGTTTCCCCCCCAGGCCAGAAAGGCAGACTTATGAGTTGACTCAAAAGTCAACGTCTACCTTCGTCCTGATTCAACGCGTTTGCCTCTGTCTTCCCCGTGGATCCTTGCGTGCATCACCTTTTCCTACCCCAGGCTGGAGAGGCGGAGGCCAAGTGCAAGTACTCGCCCTACTTGGAGCTAGGCCCTGCTACTGTGGAGCCCTGCGCCTTTGGAGAACATACCTCTTAAGTATCCTCCGTATTGCCCTTTTATCCTTTCTTTTCCTGTCATCCGTGTCATCTGTGTCATCTACCAGGCTGGAGAGGCGGAGGCCAAGCGCAAGTACTCGTCCTACTTGGAGCTAGACCTCGCCACGGTGGAGCCCTGCGTCTCTGGACCCAAGAGGTGGGGGCGACGTGGCTTTCTAAACCCAGGAAACGAGCAAGCAATATCACTGCTCAATTTGTTGTTTTCATCATGCATGAGTGCTCCGCCATCTCTAATTGTTCTCCTTCTCCTGTTGATGCGCCTCTTCCCCTTCCCCTCATTGTATTTCCCGTGGCTGGTTACCTGCTTTGCTTGGTTCCTTGCAGGCCGCATGACCATGTTGACTTTTGAGTCGACTTTTGAGTGGAGTTAAAAGTTTTCCCCTTCCCCTCACTCTATCTCCCGTGGCTGGCTTGTTACCTGCTTTGCTTGGTTCCTTGCAGGCCGCATGACCGAGTGACTTTGAAGACCATGAAGTCCGACTGGCACGCTTGCCTCGACAACCCTGTCGGTTTCAAGGCAAGTCTCTTCATCATTCCAGCACGTCTCTTTCATGTTCCCACCTAGCCCTCTTCCCAATCTCAAACCCGTCACCTACACTAGTAGTGACTGTGCTATGCTGTCCCGTTTCTACCCAACTTCATGCCCTCGCCCATCCCCAAGGCTTTGCCATTCCCAACGCGCTGCAGGGCAAGGCAGTGAAGGTGCTGCTAAACCCTAGACAAAGTGGAATCCGAGCTGGTGCACGGCTCTGTTGCTGTCATCGCCGCCATCACCTCCTGCACCAACACGTCCAACCCGTCTCCTCCTTGTGCCCCTGTGCTGTGCCCTCTCTCCATTTCCCCAGGGTTTTGCTATCCCTAAGGCCCAGCAGGGCAAGGCAGTGAAGGTGCTGCTAAACCCTAGACAAAGTGGAATCCGAGCTGGTGCACGGCTCTGTTGTTGTCATCGCTGCCATCACCTCATGCACCAACACGTCCAACCCCTCCTTGTGCCTGTCTCTTGCCTCAACTTCCCTGTAGGTGACTGACTGACTGTGCTGTTTCTGCCTCTACCCCACTCACTGCCCTCTCCCGTCCACAGGGCTTCGCCATCCCCAAGGCGCAGCAGGACAAGGCAGTGAAGGTGACTCTCAAGGAAGGGACGGAGTGTGAGCTGAAGCACGGATCCGTGGTCATTGCTGCCACGTCAACCCCTCCTTGTGCCTGTGCTGTGCTCTCTCTCCATTTCCACAGGGCTTCGCGATCCCTAAGGCCCAGCAGGACAAGGCAGTGAAGGTGACTCTCAAGGAAGGGGTGGAATCCGAGCTGAAGCACGGATCCGTGGTCATTGCTGCCATCACCTCCTGCACCAACACGTCCAACCCGTCGGTGATGCTGGCGGCAGCGATCGTGGCGAAGAAGGCGAGTGAGAGGGGGCTCCAGGTGAAGCCGTACGTGAAGACGAGCCTGGCCCCTGGCTCCAACGTCGTCACCAAGTACCTGGAGGCCAGGTGAGGGGTGCCGGTGGCTGTGTGCTGTTCCTGGTTAGCCAGGGGGTTCTGGGTTTATGCAAGGGGGCGTAGGTGATGCTGGCGGTAGCCATTGTGGCGAAAGGCGAGTGAGAGGGGGCTGCAGGTGAAGCCGTATGTGAAGACGAGCCTGGCGCCTGGCTCCAACGTCGTCACCAAGTACCTGGAGGCCAGGTGAGAGGGGTTTGGGGTTGGGGTCTTTGGGGTTGTGTTTCCAGTCAGAAGGTTCTGGGTTTAGGCAAGGGTGTAAGTAAGGAAGCATCTGGCTGCAGCATAGGGAGAATGAAAGGGGGCTCCAGGTGAAGCCATACGTGAAGACGAGCCTGGCCCCTGGGTCCAACGTCGTCATCAAGTACCTCGAGGCCAGGTGAGGAGCTCGGGTTGTGTGTTCCTGGTAGGAAGGTTCTGGGTTTATGCAATTGGCTGAAGGAAGGAAGCATCTGGCAGCAACATAGACAGAACCCGTCACTTACGCCTGCATTTTATGCTTCGAGAACCGACCCACTTTTTGCGCTTCCTTCTGTTGATTTTCCCCTCTCTCTGCAGTGGCATCCTCCCGGCTCTCGAGTGTCATGGCTTGCTCGTGGTGAATTTTGCTGCACCACGTGCAATGGGAGCTCATTCTGCCTCTTTTCTTTCCTCCTCTCCGTCTTTGTTTCCCTCGTTCCTCTCTCTGTGTGCAGTGGTCTTCTCCCAGCTCTGGAGGGGCAGGGCTTCCACGTGGTGGGCTATGGCTGCACCACGTGCATTGGGAACTCAGCCATCCTCTGGACCCTCCTCCTCTTGATCCTTATTTCCCCCTATCTTTGTGCAGTGGCCTCCTGCCAGCTCTGGAGGGCCAGGGCTTCCACGTGGTGGGCTATGGCTGCACCACGTGCACTGACTCATAACCCTCCGCTCCTTCTACCCGCCTTTCCTCCTCTTCCCTCTCTTTTATGCAGTGGACTCCTGCCAGCTCTGGAGGGCCAGGGCTTCCACGTGGTGGGCTATGGCTGCACCACGTGCACTGACTCATAACCCTCCGCTCCCTCTACCCGCCTTCCCTCCTCTTCCCTCTCTTTTATGCAGTGGACTCCTGCCAGCTCTGGAGGGCCAGGGCTTCCACGTGGTGGGCTATGGCTGCACCACGTGCATCGGGAACGCATGCGTCTCCTTTCCCTTTTCTCTCCTTCCCTCCTCTCTCTTGTGTCTTCAGTGGCCTCCTCCCGGCTTTGGAGGGCCAGGGCTTTCACGTGGTGGGCTATGGCTGCACAACGTGCATTGGGAACTCGGGGGAGATTCACGAGGCCGTTGGACAGGCCATCGCTGACAACGGTATGTGCAGCAGTGGCATACCCTGCAGAGGCCCAAGCTAGAGTTCATCTCATCTATTCCTACTCATGCTTTCCGATAAGCATATCCGGATAACGCCACGTGCATTGGGAACTCGGGGGAGATTCACAAGGCCGTTGGACAGGCCATTGCTGACAACGGTACGTATGCCACGGTTGACGCTGAAAGGGTGTAGCCTGGCAATTATCTTGGCAAAAAACTGCTCTCTCACGTACATCCATTCACCAGAGCTCATTTTGAGACGTCTCAAAACTGCTCTCTCACGTGCATCCATTCACCAGAGCTAACCTCTTCTCTCACTTCCCCCCTTCCCCCTCTGTTTCTTCTGTCCCTCTACACAACATCGGGCCTGGTGGCTGCAGCGGTACTTCCTGGTAACCACAACTTCGAGGGTCGCATTCATCTTCTCACTCGGACTGACTTTTGAGAATTCTCAAAAGTCATTCCAATATGGCTGCAGCGGTACTTCCTGGTAACCACAACTTCGAGGGTCGCATTCATCTTCTCACTCGGACCAAACCCTCCTCCCTTCTCTCTTCCCTTCAACCCACACATCAACAGACCTTGTCGCAGCAGCAGTGCTGTCTAGTAACCACGACGTTGGGGGCTGTGCCCATCCTCTTACCCAAGCCTACCCTCCTTCCTTTTCCCTTCGCTGTTTCCCCCCTTCTCTTCCCCTCCATCTCGCCCACGAATCAACAGACCTGGTGGCGGCAGCGGTGCTGTCCGGTAACCGTAACTTTGAAGGGCGTGTGCATCCCCTCACCCGAGCCAACTACCTTGCCTCCCCGTTCCCCATCCCCCCCACCCCCCTCCCCGTACTCTTCCTTTACTGTTTCCTCCGCACCAAACAACAGATTTGGTTGCGGCAGCGGTGCTCTCTGGTAACCGTAACTTTGAAGGGCGTGTGCATCCCCTCACCCGAGCCAACTACCTTGCATCCCCGCCCCTCGTCGTGGCATACGCGCTTGCTGGCACGGTGAGTAGAATGTGCTACTGTCATGGGTGTATGCCTTTGTTCCCCTCACCCGAGCCAACTACCTTGCATCCCCGCCCCTCGTCGTGGCATACGCGCTTGCTGGCACGGTGAGTAGAATGTGCTACTGTCATGGGTGTATGCCTTTGTTCCCCTCACCCGAGCCAACTACCTTGCATCCCCGCCCCTCGTCGTGGCATACGCGCTTGCTGGCACGGTAAATGTTCAGCTTGCTGGTTGATGGTGGTTGGAGTTCACGTTGTATCTTTGTCAGAATCAACCCTTTTAGAATCAACTGCCTGCCTTGCATCCCCGCCCTCGTCGTGGCATACGCGCTTGCTGGCACGGTAAATGTTCAGCTTGCTGGTTGATGGTGGTTGGAGTTCACGTTGTATCATTGTCAGAATCAACCCTTTTAGAATCAACTGCCCCGCCCCTCATCGTGGCATACGCGCTTGCTGGCACGGTAAATTCAGATTGCTTTCTGGCTGGTGGCTGGAATTCATGCTGTGTCGTTGTCAGAAACAACCCTTGTTAGAATCAACTGTCTACCTTGCATCCCCGTCCGCCGCCGTGGCATAGCTTTTGCTGGCATGGTAGGTGTTCAGCTGGCTTACTGTTTCTCCTGTATCACTCCCCTTTATTGTCACACGCGCCCATGTTTCTTTCGTTCATTACATGACCACAATTTCTCAGGTGGACATTGACTTTGAGACGGAGCCCATCCGCGCGGACGAGGGTGTGAAGAGGTGTTTCTGAAAGACGTTTTCCTTCCCTTCCACATGCACATGGTTCATTCATTCACAACATGACAATCTTTCCATTCCTCCCCTTTTTCTTTTTTGCGTGCATGGTTCCTCCATCCATCACATGACCACATTCTCAGGTGGACATTGGCTTCGAGACGGAGCCAATCAGCACGGACGAGGGTGTGAAGAGGTGTTTCTGAAAGACGTTTTCCTTCGCTCCCACATGCACATGGTTCATTCACATCATGACAATCCTCACAGGTGGACATTGACTTCGAGACGGAGGTTATTGGCACGGACAAGGACGGCAAGGAGGTGTTCCTCCGAGACATCTGGCAACATAAGCCGCACCAGGCCCTACCAAACGTCTCCCCTCTTTCTCCCCTGCACGTGTTGTCAATTCACATCATGACCACATTCTCAGGTGGACATTGACTTTGAGACGGAGCCCATCGGCACTGACAAGGACGGCAAGGAGGTGTTTCTGAGGGACAGAGACATGTGTCTAACATAAGCCCCACCAGGCCCAACAGATCGCCTCCTCTCGTCCCCCCTCCTCTCGTTCCCCCCTGTGCACATGTTTCATTCATCCATCTCAGGTGGACATTGACTTTGAGACGGAGCCCATCGGCACTGACAAGGATGGCAAGGAGGTGTTTCTGAGGGACATCTGGCCCAGCAAGGAGGAGGTGGCCGAGGTGCGTGCGTGCATCTGAATCTGAGGCGTGTGTAATTTTTACATGAATGGAGAGCCTACAAGGCAGGTTTGAGGCGCCTCTGTAAGTGTTGTCACCAACGCCCTGTCCCCTGCTTCCTCCCCTAGTTTCCAATCCATATTTGCTAAAACGTCCAACCCTGGCCCCTTCAGCTGCAGTTTTCCCAGTCGGTGGACAAGGCGGTGAAGGAAGGCGCCACCAACGCCCCCATCAACCCCTCAACACCCCTCTGTTCCCTATCATCACCCCTTTATCCCATCAAACCTGATTCTTAAACCCTGGCAGGTGGTGGAGAGGGCGGTCCTCCCACAGTTCTTCCAGTCAGTCTACAAGGCAGTGAAGGAGGGCGCCACCAACGCCCTCTGGAACCCCTGACCACCCCTCTTACTCCTATTTTTACCATTGTGAATCACTAAATCCTTCTCCAGGTGGTTGAAAGGGCGGTTCTCCCTCAGTTCTTCCAGTCAGTCTACAAGGCAGTGAAGGAGGGCGCCACCAACGCCCTCTGGAACAGCCTGCCTGCGGAGAACGAGCCTCTGTACCGCTGGGAACCGTTCTCCACCTACATCCACGACCCGCCCTACTTCAAGAACTTCCCCCGCGACCCCCCTGGTGGCAAGGACGTAAAGGACGCCTTCTGCCTGCTCAACGTGGGCGACTCCATCACCACTGATCATATTTCCCCTGCAGGTGGGTGCTTGGAAGAGTGTATGTGTTTGAGAGTGTGGTATACGTGTGTCTACAGTGAGGGTTGGCGTTGTGGGTTGTGGGGTGGCAAGGACGTGAAGGAGGCCTTCTGCCTGCTCAATGTGGGCGACTCCATCACCACCGACCACATCTCCCCTGCAGGTGGGTTTTGTTTTGGGACCCCTCTCTTCCTCCCTCTCCTCTTCCTCCCTCTCCTCTTCCTCCCTCTCCTCTTCCTCCCTCTCCTCTTCCTCCCTCTCCTCTTCCTCCCTCTCCTCTTCCTCCCTCTCCTCCACCTACATCCACAACCCGCTCTACTTCAAGAGCTTCCCCCGCAACCCCCCTGGTGGCAAGGACGTGAAGGACGCGTTCTGCCTGCTGAATCTCGGGGAAAAGAATTCAACTCGTATGGTAGCAGGCGGGGCAATGACGAGGTCATGACTCGTGGCACGTTTGCCAACACCTCTGTCCCCAACTCCCACCCTGTGCTCCCTTCTGTGCTGCTCCCTGTGCGACTCGTTGGGCACCCCCCTCTGCCTCCCCTCCTCCCATCACACCAGGGAGCATCCACAAGGACAGCGCTGCAGCCAAGTATCTCACAGAGAGAGGCGTTGCTAGGAAGGACTTCAACTCGTACGGCAGCAGGCGGGGCAACGGCGAGCTGGCATTGCAGGGCGACCCTTCCTCCACCTCTCCTCCCACGTCCTCCCTCCCATCACACCAGGGAGCATCCACAAGGACAGCGCTGCAGCCAAGTATCTCACAGAGCGTGGAGTGGCACGCAAGGACTTCAACTCGTACGACAGCAGGCGGGGCAACGAGAGGTCATGACTCACATCGTTGGGGTGTATTTTGAGGCGCCTCAAAATACATGACTCACATCCTTGTCCCCAATTTCCACCCTCTCCACCCCCCCTCCCGTGCTCCAGGAAGCATCCACAAGGACAGTGCTGCAGCCAAGTACCTCACAGAACGGGGCGTGGCGCGAAAAGACTTCAACTCGTATGTCAGCAGGTGGGGCAACGACGAGGTCATGACCCGCGTGTGCACTTCCTCGTGCGCCTCCCTCTGGTCCCCCCCCCCCCTGTGCTGCTCCAGGGAGCATCCACAAGGACAGTCCTGCAGCAAGGTATCTCACAGAAAGGGGCGTTCCCAGGAAGGATTTCAACTCATATGGCAGCAGGCGGGGCAACGACGAGGTCATGACTCGCGGCACATTTGCCAACATCCGGCTGGTGAACAAGCTGGCTGGAGGGGAGGTGGGACCCAAGACGGTGCACCTGCCGTCGGGGGAGAAGATGAGCGTCTTCGATGCTGCCATGGTGAGTGGGGTTGCTAGGGTGTAACAGGGTTACCAGTCGGAGGGATGGATGGTGTACCAGTGGGTAGGGATAGTGTTACCAGCAGCAGCGGCACGTTTGCCAACATCCGGCTGGGCTGGTGAACAAGCTGGCTGGAGGAGAAGTGGGCCCCAAGACGGTGCACCTGCCGTCGTGGGAGAAGATGAGCGTCTTTGATGCTGCCATGGTGAGTGGGGTAGTAGAGTGTGGCAGGGTTACCAGCAAAGCAAGGATAGATGGTGTTCCCAGCAAGACGGTGCACCTGCCTTCAGGGGAGAAGATGAGCGTCTTTGATGCTGGCATGGTGAGTGGGCTAGGGTTGCTAGGGTGTAACAGGGCTACTAGCAGTGATAGATGGTGTTACCAGGAGGGAGAGATAGGGTTATCAGCAGCAGATGAGGTGGAACCCTAGACGGTGCACCTGCCTTCTGGAGAGAAGATGAGCGTCTTTGATGCCGCCATGATGAGTCAATGGGGTTACCAGCAAGGTGTAACAGGGTTACCAGTAGGGATCAACAGCGTTACCATCAGGGAGCAATAGGGTAACCAGCGTGAGAGGCATGTTTGTGATTACCTGGCTGGTGAACGAGCTAGCGAGGGGGAAAGGGGGTGGGGGAGGTGGGACCCAAGACAGGGTACAAGGCGGAGGGGAATCCCAAATTCGTCCCATAGCTGGGGCCGGGGCGGAGGGTACAAGGCTGGGGCTGAATATTGGAGTGGCTCATCCCATGATCTCTCACTCTCACTGTTCCAACGCTTCTGTCTCTCTGTGCGTCTCTGTTTCTCTCCCTCTCTGTACTCATGAGCAGAAGTACAAGGCGGAGGGGCATCCCACCATCGTGCTGGCAGGGGTGGAGTATGAAAGCCGCTTTTTCCGTGACTGTCAACACTCTCATACTCACTGTCGCCGTCACTGTCATTGTCTCATGTGTGTCTCTCTCTGTCTATCGTGCCCCTCTGTGTGTCCATGAGCAGAAGTACAAGGCGGAAGGGCATTCCACGATAGTCCTGGCAGGGGCGGAGTATGGAAGCGGCTTTTTCCGTGACTGCCAACACCCTCATACTCACTGTCGCCGTCACTGTCATTGTCTCATGTGTGTCTCTCTCTGTCTATCATGCCCCTCTGTGTGTCCATGAGCAGAAGTACAAGGCGGAGGGACACCCCACCATCGTGCTGGCAGGGGCGGAGTATGGAAGCGGCTGTCTAGTGACTGTCACACTCACAATCACACTCACTGTCACTGTCGTGTCTAATGTGTATCTGTATGTTGCTTTGCTCCCCTTGTGTGGCTTGGTGTGTGAGCAGAAGTACAAGGCAGAGGGACATCCCACGATAGTCCTGGCAGGGGCAGAGTATGGAAGCGGCTCGTCGCGTGACTGGGCTGCCAAGGGGCCGTACTTGCAGGTATGGCAATGCAATGCGAGGGTGTGAGCGCTGTTAAGGCGCCTCAAATGTGAGGCAATCTGTCAGGAAACAGTGCTGGCAGGGGCGGAGTATGGAAGCGGCTCTTCCCGTGACTGGGCTGCCAAGGGGCCGTACTTGCAGGTATGGCAATGCAATGCGAGGGTGTGAGCGCTGCTAAGGCGCCTCAAATGTGAGGCAATCTGTCAGGAAACTGTGCTGGCAGGGGCGGAGTATGGGAGTGGTTCGTCGCGTGACTGGGCAGCCAAGGGACCGTACCTGCAGGTATGGCAATGAGCTGTGAGGGTGAAAGCTCGTAAATGCGAGGGTGCTTTTGATTGTATGATTGAGTGTGATTTGAGTGTTTAATTTTTATGGTCTCCTCTGAGCGTACCCACCACTGAACCTGGTGGGGATGGGCATCATCCCGCTCTGCTTCAATCTGTCCCTATCTCGTTTCCCTCCTGCTCCTTGCCTTGTCTCCTCCCAGGGAGTGCGGGCGGTGATTTCCGTCTCATTCGAGCGCATTCACCGCAGCAACCTGGTGGGAATGGGCATCATCCCGCTCTGCTTCAAGCCCCTCACCAAGCTCCCTCACTCTTGCCCCCACCTTTTCTGCCTTGTCATACACACCTACAGGGAGTGCGTGCTGTCATCTCCGTCTCATTCGAGCGCATCCATCGCAGCAACCTGGTGGGGATGGGCATCGTCCCGCTCTGCTTCAAGCCCCTCTCATTCCTCCCTCCCGTCCTCCTCTCCCGTCTGCTTTCTCCCACCATCACACCACAGGGAGTGCGAGCTGTCATCTCTGTTTCATTCGAGCGCATTCACCGCAGCAACCTGGTGGGAATGGGCATCATCCCGCTCTGCTTCAAGCCCCTCACCAAGCTCCCTCACTCTTGCCCCCACCTTTTCTGCCTTGTCACACCACAGGGGGTGCGGGCGGTGATCTCCGTCTCATTTGAGCGCATTCACCGCAGCAACCTGGTGGGAATGGGCATCATCCCGCTCTGCTTCAAGCCCGGTCAAAACGCCGAGACGCTGGGGCTGACTGGCAAGGAGCGCTTCTCCTTCTCCCTGCCGCCGGTGGATCAGATCCAGCCCGGCCAGGACGTGGTGGTTTCCACGGACAACGGAAAGTCGTTTACCTGCACCCTGCGCTTTGATACTGAGGTGAGAACGACTGGCCGCGTTTCGATACTGAGATGAGGATAGGATTCTCCTTCTCGCTGCCGCGGGTGGATCAGATCCAGCCGGGGCAAGACGTGGTGGTTTCCACGGACAACGGAAAGTCGTTTACCTGCACGCTGCGCTTCGACACGGAGGTGAGTACCGTAGCCACGCAGAGTATACATGTGAAGGCCCGCAGGGAAGGAGGTGGAGGGTTGGTAGTGGATTCTCCTTTTCACTGCCGCCGGTGGATCAGATCCAGCCCGGGCAAGACGTGGTGGTTTACACCGATAGTGGGAAGAGCTTCACATGCACCCTGCGCTTTGATACAAAGGTGAGTCGTGGAGACACTGGGCGTGTGTGTACATAGGCAAAGGGAGTGGGGCTACCTACACGTTTCGATTCGACAATGAGGTGAGTTGTGGAAACACACAAGGTGCTTATGTACAGGCAATGAGTGCATGCGCCAAGCAGTCAAGCAGTCATGAAGGCAGAGTGCTTTTTCGTCTCCCTGTCGCCAGTGGATCGGATCCAGCCTGGCCAATACGTGGATATGACTACTCAAAGTGAACGGAATCTTTGAAGTCAAAGTTGGTCTTGATGTTTCCGTGGTTTCTTTCTCCTGCTGTGCTGTGCGTGCAGCTCGAAAAGGCCTACTACAATCACGGGGGCATTCTGCACTTTGTGCTGCGTCAACTGCTGGCCAAGTCCACTGCTGCTTGAGTCGGTTGTTGAACAATGAGCTCTATTACGCACGAATAGGATGGCTTACGCTGGAGAAATATGTGGAGTTGAGCGTGCTGTTACAGTGCATTGGAGGGGTACATCTCTCGTTGGTGTTTTTTGTTGTGGTAGCAAGACCTGGCTTGGAGAATACTGGAAGCAAGCAGCATCATGATGTGGATTTCATGCGTTCATTGCTTCCTGTTCACGCCTTGTCTTTTGGTTATAAGGGTGACTGCTGATCATCATTCAAACATTAGTAACTGTCGAGGAAAGTCAGCACAACAGCTACAATGGATGGGGAAATGCTGAATCCCAGAAGGAAGAGGGAGAAACAACATTCTCATAGAGCACCCATCTTCCTCACATAAATCAGCACTGGTAAGAATGAAGGACAATACAATACAATCCACTTTATTGGGGCACTGAACAGACTGCTCGCAAGAAGAATACAACCATAATTGCAAACAGGCTCAGAAAGTCCCATCACCCTCTCCCAGTAGAATAAACCCCGTCACCCTCTCTCAGTACCCGTCCTGTTGCACCCCCTCTCAGTACCCATCCTGCTGCATGCGGCCCAAGCTATTAACCAAGGAAGAATCCTCCCTCACCGAGACTATTAGTACACGTACGGAATAAGCTTCTTAACCCTCTCCCTATACTCCAAATACCTCTGGCCGAATTTCTCAATCAGAAATCCCTCCTCAGCTGTAGCCTTCCTGTCAAAGAGCACCAGCAGCAGTACCGTCATAATACCCCGTCCTGTGCTGTTTGTAAGGAGAGTAATACCAGATGCGATCAGTAACGCGCTACCGTATAACGGATGACGCACTACCGCGAATAGCCCGCCAGTTTCGAGCTCCGAATCCGGCGGCGGCTTGGGGTAAGGCGAAAGATTCGTCCCGATATCTTTAGCACCCTTAGAAGATAGCCAAACGCCAATACCCACTAACGCGGCACCTATAACGTAATTCAAATACCAGATCTCGCTCGGCTGAAAAAACGAGCCCGGGATGAAGTGAGAGAAGAGGAAATCTGGCGGGAAAATGATGCCAGCAAATATCAGGAATTGAAGAACAACGTAAATCTCGCCGCGTTTCCCCCACTCGCCGTCATCTTTGAAGAAGTTGTCCCGAAGCTTCTGCCGACGCTGCTCGTCCGCGCTGAGAGCAGGTCCGGAGGCAGCCGACGCTGGGTCGGAGGTTCGGGAACCAGCCTCGGGAAGTCCACTAGAGCTGCTTCCCGGGGGAGACGGACCGGCGAATGGGAGAAGCGGATCGGTTTCGCGTTTGGAGGAGGTATTATTCCGCATTTTCAGGGAGCGCGGGTGCTTTTGGTGATTGAACGACTGTAGGAACAGCGGTGAACCAGGCGCTGCGAGCACTGACGGCGGCTTCTTACTTAGAGCACTCGCAGATGTAGTAGGAGCGGCAGGTTTGGATATAAACGTATGATGAAGACAGATTGGGGAAACAAAGCTGGAGGACAATATGAAGGTCGACGGTCGATAACTCGACGTTGAAGATGATTGAACGAACGATCGCATCGGCGAAGTGGGGAAAACAGTTGTGAAAAGGGACACCTTTTTCATGGAGCATATAACTGACTATGGACGTAGGGCGAGGTCTGATAAAGCAATGTCAGAATCTGAAACGGGAGCTCAAGACTGGAATCCAAGAGGCGTTTTAGGACGCGGTTAAAGTAGACGATCGATCGTCAGGAGCGATCGATGTGCGGATCGGTTACTCTATTAACTACGTTGTAATCGTGCTACAGTGCGCTTTCTGGCCAAAATTTCTGTACAGTGTGAGAATGCGACTGATCACTGTTCGCGGGAAATCTGTCAATTTTCAGCCGCGATCGTCACAACGTCGCGGTCGCCACGTTTCGCCAAACGATCTGCCCACTCGATTGTGGGGATCGATATAAGCAGACGATCCTGCGATATTTGCACTTTCAACGCGTCCTTATGCAAGCCAAGGGAACATTGCTAGGCTGGCGGGCAGGCACTACGGGACAGGAATTTGCCCCTCTCGTCCTGATGCATGCGGAATGCAAGATTCGGCCATTATGTTGATACCACGTGCGACAACGCGGCAAACTATGCGAAATCCTAGAAGTTCGCTATGAATGCTTTAGAAGAATTCGATTATGGTAATTTGTCACGGTACATCTACAATTATGATGGTGATTTACTGGTAAATCGAAACCTTCCTTTATTATCCTTTTTGTATCCACACATCTCTGTCCAAACCTTTCAATTCATTCCACTCCACACGCATCAAGCGTGCCCCAAAAGGTACTGCTTCCTCTCAGTTCACACAACAAATGTGTTCTTCCTGATTTTGGAAATACAGCTTCCTTTCAAACTTCAGACTTTCAAAAACTTCACTTGGGCTCGGCCCTTGGTAGGGCTGAGATTTCCAACAAGAATCATGCATCAAACCATCAACCCTCCACTAACACACAATTGTAGACAGGCATGCACGGCTAGCATATCCAGCTGTGGCAGATGCAAGTATTGCCATGCCTAATATATGTATGGAATAAGCTTCTTTACTTTTTGCTTGTACTCCTCATACTTCCGGCCATATTTGCCAATCAGGAATCCTTCTTCCACTGCTGCCTTCTTGTCAAACAAAATCAGCAGCAAAACCGTTAAAATCCCCCGTCCTGTGCTGCATGTGAGGAGGGTTAAACCAGATGCGACTAGCAACGCGCCACTGTATATCGGGTGACGCACTATCGCGTACGTCCCGCCAGTTTCGAGCTCCGAATCTGTTGGCGGCTTGGGGAAAGGGGAAAGGTTCGTCCCGAGATCTTTGACCGCGTTAGAAGAAAACCATCCGCCAATGCCTAGTAACGCGGCTCCAGCAACGTAGTTTAAATACCAGACGTCGCTGGGTTCGAAAAACGCGAGAGGGAGGAAGGAAGAGAAGAGGAAATCTGGCGGGAAAGCGATGCCGGCGAATAGTAGCATCTGGATAACCACGTATTCTTCCCCTCGCTTCCCCAACTCGCCGTCTTTAAACATATTATCCCGAAGCTTCTGTCGACGCTTCTCCTCCGCGCTGAGATCCGGTCCGGAGGTTTGGTTGTCAGCCTCGGGATTGTCACCGGAGCTGCTGCCTGGGGGGGATGGACCAGCAAATGGGAGAAGCGGGTCCTTTTTGCGATTGGAGGACAGGATTCCCTCAATTTTCGAAGAATTCGGATGATCGTGATAACTGCGTGGCTTGAAGTTAAGCTGCGAGGTAAGAGAGCTGGGGCCTGACGACGGGGCCTTGTTGCGATCCCTCGAGTCTGGTCTTAACGCGGATACGGGAGCGGCCGCAACGGTACGAAGAGAAGAGCTCGGGAAAACGACGCAGGAGGATGATAACGGGGAGGTGGCTCGGCAACGCAGCGCCGTCCGCAATCCAAGGAGCGTTCGCAGCGGCGAAACGCCAATAAGAGCCGTGGTAACCATCTCACCAAGCTGCTGTCAGAAAGGAATGCAGCAGCGGCAGTGGGTAAAGCGAGGGACAAGATGCCGAGAAGTTATGGGATGAATGCGACAGCAAGAGGATTGAGGAATATTGAATGCCAATGCTATTTAGATTTGACGAGGCATTTATAAGAGGCGGAAATTAGGCTAAGCTCAAACTTGTTTCCTCCTCTATCGCTGACGCATGCGAATGGGATTTGGCGAAATCTGCAAGCTCGTGGAACGTGCGACGGAAACTCGCGTGCTCGCGAAAGTTCGCGCTGGAAATATCAGCACAGAGCAATTTCTGAAGAAGTGTCGCAGGCATAGAAGCTGAGATCAGAGAAGCTGCTTCGTTAGAAATTACAGCTACACTTAGATTATTGAACATGATATACATCATTTTCAACCTTGCTACAATTACAGCTATCTATCTACCCTTAGTTAGACCTAACGGAAGAACGCGTCCCCCACCTCGCTTTCTGGGTATCGGGTGCTCTTCCCCTCCAGAAGAGGCCTTGTTGTCGCTTCTCATTTCCTTAGCTTTATGCATCGTCCCTGTTACACCTTCCGTCGTCTCACCACCTTCACATTCAACTCCAGATTGATTTCTTGCATCATCAGCTTCAGTGGCGTCATTACCAGGAGGTGAATCTTCATTCCCCTTGGCCTGGCGTGTGCTTTCCACGTGCTCTGCAATGAATGCCAAGATTTGGTTCCCGAACTGATCCGCTCGTCTTTGCCCGATAATCTCTACCAACTGCGACGAGAGTGGTTCGAAAGAAGGAATGAAGTGATCGTATAATGCGCCGAGGAGGAAAATTACACAACAATAGGAACATGCATGGTTTTGAACATGCATGCTTTTGAATGTGGGCAAGAGGTGCAAGCAGTGTAACAGTGTGACTATAATGAAAGTGGCTAATACCTGAGGCATGATGGCTGGTTTTGAGTGAGAGAGCGCGAAGAGGTGGTGAGAGGAGAGCACGGCACGAGGGAACGAACCCGCCGTGTTGAGAAGCAACAAAGGGAATGAGATGTGCAGAGAGGCCTTACCTGAGGCATGGCGGCTGGCATGGAGTGGGAGAGAGCGAAGGGGTGGTGGGAGGAGAGCACGCCAAGAGGGAACAACCCGCCGTGTTGAGATGCAACAAAGCCTTGTGGTGTGAGGAGGGCTGTACATGATGTACCTTGGTGTGAAGAAAGCCTTACCTGATGCATGGTGGCTGGCTTGGAGTGAGAGGGAGCAAAGAGATGGTGCGAGGAGAGCACGGCATGTGGGAACAGGCCGCTGTGTTGAGATGCAACGGAGGTGTGAAGGCGTGAAGAGGGCCGTACCTGATGCATGGAGGCTGGTTTCGACTGCGAGAGAGCGAAGAGATGATGGGAGGAGAGCACAGCATGTGGGAACAGGCCGCCGTGTTGAGAGGCAACGGAGCGACGCAATTGGTCGAGGCGGCGGGAGAGCTTTGCGTCAGATGCAGCAGCGGCTGCACTCGTAGCAGTTGCGGTGTTGGTGATAGTGGTGGTTCGTGCAGTTGAAACGCTTGGGTCAGCAGGAGGATGAGTTGTAGTTGTTGTTGCTTGTCTTGGGATGTCCATTGTAACGCGCATCTGACCTGTAACGTTTTGTGGGCGATAGAGAGAGAACATCAGACACTGTTTTTTTTTTTTTTTTTTTTTTCAGATGTTTTTTACGAAAGGGGAATGGAAGAGTAGCTACCAACGAATGATAAAAAGGGTCTTGGCTATATTTCTTCCATTAGTGATTGAGTTTTTATTTTAACAGAGCTTACATGGGAAAGAGAGCTGCAACATCCTTTGCTGGAATTTTACACAAGATACCTGATCAAGTCAGCTAACAACACCTGATCAGGCCACCGAAACACACCTGAAATCGCCTGAGAGACCACCTGGGCTCACCTGAAACCACCTGACAGACCTGACAGGCCATCTAAATTCACCTGTGAGGACGCGGTGTGCATTGCGGCTCAGAAGCAGGTAGGCGTTTGTGGCATATGGCGAGTGCTGAAACTCCTGAGAGACCATCTCCACTCCACTCACCTGAAACCACTCACTCACCTGTGAGGACGCGGTGTGCATTGCGGCCCGGAAGCAGGTAGGCGTTTGTGGCATATGGCGAGTGCTGAAACTCCTCCCTCTATAGTCACACAGGCAAGCAACGGTTTGGGGCACATACAAACGAGCATGCACATGCAAAAGCGGATTGGCATTTGAGACGTTTGTGGCGTATGGTGAGTGCTGAAACTCCTCCCTCTTTAGTCACATATGAGGCAGTATGGGGAATGTGCACAAGCACATGACGCAAAAGCAGGTAGGTGTTTGTAGCATATGATGAGTGCTGAAACTCCTCCCACTATAGTCACACATAAGAAAAACCTCCATACTTCTAATGTATACAGTACATAGGCCGTACGGCATTGGAATGAATACAGGAGCGAGATGTATTTTGATTGTACTAGATAGCCTACTCTACTCACCAGCACAGATGACAGGAGCATATGCGTTATAAGCTGCTCTGTTGTCTCTTTAGTGATCCCTTTCACCAACGAACCCCAACTCTCGGATTCCCCTTTTCCCCCTCCCTTCACATTCCCTCTCCCCACTCCTCCGCCTCCCCCTCCTCCTCCCCTGCCTCCTGTTCGCCATTGCTCTGTAAGCTGCAACAGTGTGAGGGATTTCTCCTTGGACGATTGGGTTTCTTGAACGAATTCGAGTATGGAACGGGCGTGGGGAGTAAAGTCCTGCTGCGCTGTTCGTTCCCCTCCTCCTCCTCCCTGGCTGCAAATGTCACACATACCTGGGCGGGATGCAGTGGGGTGGGGTGTGGAGGGGTATGGTGTGGTGTGGAGTGGTGGGGTGGGGCGTGGACGGGTGTGGTGGTGGGGTGGGGTGTGGAGGGGTGTGGAGTGGTGGGGTGGACATTCTTCAGCATAGGACGGCATGGTATGGCACTTTGCTGACTAACACCGCGACTACCATGTTTGGCCAGCTCGCCTTCGCACCCCACCACACCCCACCACACCCCACCACAACCAGCCACACCAAAACCAACCACACCCCACCAAACCAATATCATGGCAAAACATTTCACCAGCTCACCTTCACGCTCCCTCGGCTCCTCCCCAAACTGCCTAAAGATGGCCGTCCTTCTCTAGGGAATTGCATAGTGTTAAGCATGCATCATACAAGGACTTCACACACTCACCCTCACATTCCCTCGGCTCCTCCCCAAACTGCCTAAAGATGGCCGTCCTTCTCTAGGGAATTGCATAGTGTTAAGCATGCATCATAGGACTTCACACACTCACCCTCACATTCCCTCGGCTCCTCCCCAAACTGCCTAAAGATGGCCAGTCTTCCTTTGACATGAGATGGCACCGCACAGTACATTACCTCACCCCACTACACTCCACTGCACCACACCACATCACACAACATCTGTCAACCACTCACCTTCGCATTCCCTCGGCTCCTCCCCGAAGTGTCTGAAGATGGCCGTTCTCCGACACTCACGGCGATTCTTTAGGGAGGAGGGAGGGATGGATTGGGGTGGAAAGGGGTGGAACGGCTGTGGAAAGGGATGGGAAGGATAGGAGAAAGTGCCTGAAGTTAGCCGTTCTCCGACACTCACGGCGATTCTTTAGGGAGGAGGGAGGGATGGATTGGGGTGGAAAGGGGTGGAACGGCTGTGGAAAGGGATGGGAAGGATGGGAGAAAGTGCCTGAAGTTAGCCGTTCTCCGACACTCACGGCGATTCTTTAGGGAGGAGGGAGGGATGGATTGGGGTGGAAAGGGGTGGAACGGCTGTGGAAAGGGATGGGAAGGATGGGAGAAAGTGCCTGAAGTTAGCCGTTCTCCTTCACTCACGGCGATTCTTTAGGGAGGAGGGAGGGATGGATTGGGGTGGAAAGGGGTGGAACGGCTGTGGAAAGGGATGGGAAGGATGGGAGAAAGTGCCTGAAGTTAGCCGTTCTCCGACACTCACGGCGATTCTTTAGGGAGGAGGGAGGGATGGATTGGGGTGGAAAGGGGTGGAACGGCTGTGGAAAGGGATGGGAAGGATGGGAGAAAGTGCCTGAAGTTAGCCGTTCTCCGACACTCACGGCGATTCTTTCAGGAGGAAGGAGGGGTTGGGACGAGGTGGAGAGGGGCGGGATGAGGTGGGAAGGGGTGGGAAGGTGGGAAAAGGTGGGTACCACAAGACCATGTCTCACTCACTCCCTCACTCTCCCTCCCATTCATCCACCCACTTACTCACCCACTTCCCCACCCACTCCCCCACACACTCTTCCACCCACTCACCATCGCATGCCACCCCTTGGCATACAGGTTGATTAGACCAGCATTATCCCTCACAAGACACTATGCATGATCTCTCACTCGCTATATGATATTCCCTGCACCGCACACATCCCACTCACCATCACATACCGCCCCTTGGCATACACGTTGATTAGACCTGCATTCCTTTGCGCACATGCACGCATTCACTTACACATTATCCCACTCCCCTAACCACCCACCCACTCACCATGGCATAGCGCCCCATGGCGTACAGGTTGATGAGACCTGCATTCTCTGCAAATACCACGAGTCCCTTCCCCACTCACTCCCTCACATTCACTCCCCCAACCAGCCACCACTCCCCCACTCACCCACCCACTCACCATGGCATACCGCCCCATGGCATACAGGTTGATCAGCCCAGCGTTCATGCATGCATTTACCCCCACGCCCACACCCACTCTCCCCAAGCACCCACCCACTCACCATGGCATACCGCCCCATGGCATACAGATTGATCAGCCCAGCGTTCTCTGTGAATAGCACCAGTCCATCTCTCAGTACTCCCTCACTCACTCCTCCCACTACCTCTCCACACCACTCAGCATGGCATACCGCCCCATGGCATACAGATTGATCAGCCCAGCGTTCTCTGTGAATAGCACCAGTCCATCTCTCAGTACTCCCTCACTCACTCCTCCGACTACCTCTCCACACCACTCAGCATGGCATACCGCCCCATGGCATACAGATTGATCAGCCCAGCGTTCTCTGTGAATAGCACCAGTCCATCTCTCAGTACTCCCTCACTCACTCCTCCCACTACCTCTCCACACCACTCAGCATGGCATACCGCCCCATGGCATACAGATTGATCAGCCCAGCGTTCTCTGTGAATAGCACCAGTCCATCTCTCAGTACTCCCTCACTCACTCCTCCCACTACCTCTCCACACCACTCAGCATGGCATACCGCCCCATGGCATACAGATTGATCAGCCCAGCGTTCTCTGTGAATAGCACCAGTCCATCTCTCAGTACTCCCTCACTCACTCCTCCCACTACCTCTCCACACCACTCAGCATGGCATACCGCCCCATGGCATACAGATTGATCAGCCCAGCGTTCTCTGTGAATAGCACCAGTCCATCTCTCAGTAATCCCTCACTCACTCCTCCCACTACCTCTCCACACCACTCAGCATGGCATACCGCCCCATGGCATACAGATTGATCAGCCCAGCGTTCTCTTTGAATAGCACCAGTCCATCTCTCAGTACTCCCTCACTCACTCCTCCCACTACCTCTCCACACCACTCAGCATGGCATACCGCCCCATGGCATACAGATTGATCAGCCCAGCGTTCTCTGTGAATAGCACCAGTCCATCTCTCAGTACTCCCTCACTCACTCCTCCCACTACCTCTCCACACCACTCAGCATGGCATACCGCCCCATGGCATACAGATTGATCAGCCCAGCGTTCTCTGTGAATAGCACCAGTCCATCTCTCAGTACTCCCTCACTCACTCCTCCCACTACCTCTCCACACCACTCAGCATGGCATACCGCCCCATGGCATACAGGTTCATCAGACCAGCGTTCTCTGCGAATAGCACCAGTCTGATACCCCCCTGCTGCTGTATATGACTCCCCCACCCCACCCACTCACCATGGCATACCGTCCCATGGCATACAGATTGATCAGCCCAGCGTTCTCTGCAAATACCATGCTGCTCTGAGGTGGGGAGTGGGGAGAAGGAGAGGGGAGAGGGTAGTGGGGAGAGACGTCTAGGAACTCTGAAGGTTGATGAGTCCTGCGTTTTCTGCAAAGACCAATCGGCTCTGGGGTAGAGAAGTTGGGAATATGGCAGGTGGGAACAAGGCAGATGCGGAATACAGAAGGTGTGAATAAGGCAGGTGGGGAAGCGGCAGGTGGGGAGACGGGTAATGAAACGACTCAGAACTCTTCAGGTTGATGAGATGAGACCCGCATTACCTGAAAGAACAGTCCGTTATTCCAATCACATGTTTCACTGGTCATGAAGAAGAGCTGCAGCGTGAAGGATCGCCTTAGCAAAGAACGATAGTCACTTCTTGAAAAGATAGTAACCCTGTAAAAAACTAGAGTAGGACCCGCATTACCTGAAAGAACAGTCCGTTATTCCAATCACATGTTTCCCGCTCACCCACCGTTCCCCCTAACGCCTCTTTGTAACCGCCTACTCCCCGGTCCCCACCCGCGGCACCTTACTCACCTGTCTTGGCAGGTCGGCGCATCGGAAGAAGAGAATGCAGCGAGGCGGCAACCCATCCCTGCCCGCTCGCCAGGGCTCAGACCCCAGATCCCATGCACCCCTCTCAACCCCACTGCCCCACAGCACCTGCAACACTATGCCTCACCTGTCTTGGCAGGTCGGCGCATCGGAAGAAGAGAATGCAGCGAGGCGGCAACCCATCCCTGCCCGCTCGCCAGGGCTCAGACCCCAGATCCCATGCACCCCTCTCAACCCCACTGCCCCACAGCACCTGCAACACTATGCCTCACCTGTCTTGGCAGGTCGGCGCATCGGAAGAAGAGAATGCAGCGAGGCGGCAACCCATCCCTGCCTGCCTCTCACCCCCAGTAGTTTCATTCATAGCTTCCCACTCCACTGTAACACCCTGCCTCACCCTGTCTCACCTGTCGGGGCAGGTCCGCACATCGGAAGAAGAGAATGCAGCGAGCCGGCAGCCCATCCCTGCCTGCTCGCCCACTCTCCTAAAAAATAGAGAAAAAAAAGGGGAAAAAAAAACTGGAGAAGCGGCGGGGACCAGGACATCTTACAAAAACCAGTTTCGTTTACGGAACTTTCAGTTTAGTTCCGCTGGTTGCTTTGTTTTCCATACTTCAGAATTGCTGCTCTCCCAATTGGTTTTGAGACACATTAAAACAGGAAACGGACAAGGCAACTAACGGGGGAGTAATGACAAACAAAAAACGTTTGAGGCGGTTCTGAACCTGAAACAGCAGGTAACCTGATAAAACGTGTCCATGGACTTGCTGAGAGTATGGTGTATCACAAACCGAACTGCAAAGAAAGCACTTAAGAAGACTGTTTCATGGGAAACAGACGGGGCAGTTAACTGGTAATGACAAAGAAGCCAAATTTTTGGTTCCCCTCATTTTTTATTAGCCTCTGAAGCAACATGTTACCTGGTAGTAGGTCTCTATAGATTTGCTGAGAGTATGGTGTATCACAAACCGAACTGCCATTAGGAAATGCGATAGAGAGAGCAAGATAGAAGAGAGACATAAGCCCAAGTTCATTACCTTAAGCACAGCAAACAAGCATAATGAGAAACAGATGTGCACACAGCAAAAGCACTGGTTCCCACCTCAGCAATGCAGATTATTCTCAGGCAAAAAGTTAGGGTTACCATCAGGCTTGTTGATTCCTATTCCTGGTCATGCAGAGCGCACACACATGCAAGCAGGCAGAAGCAGAAATTCGATAGCCTAATAGCTCACCGTCAGGCTTGTTGATTCCCATTCCAAATGCAACCTGCCGTAAAAGCCGCATCAGGACACAAACACACAAGCAAACATGCAGAAACTTACCGCTTGTTCGCATGCCCACATTTTCCACATCCAGCAGTCAGTGATCAAAGCGCCTACCTCTTGCTCATTCTCACACTCACCCACCACCATGACCCAACATCTTTCGTAGCCCTCTCACATGCCCACATTGTTCCAGTCACTCACTTACAGTGCCCACAATGACTTGCACTTCCCCCCGACTCCAGCTATTAGGGGAGGAACGGGAGCGGGGGGAAGGGGACGAGGAATGGGGGTTTAGGAGGGATGGTGAGAAGAGAATGCTACTACCTTGCCCCAACCACACACACCCGCAGTGCCCAGAGTCAGATGGGAAGGGTCTATATCCACACGGTATGGTATTGTGCTGCTGGTAGATCTCATACACGACACGTCACTTGACTAAAGATCCCTGCCGTGCTAGTGCCTTGCCTTATGTGCACGGTGCATGTGAATGTGATGGGCAGGCAGGGTTTATACCGGCATGGTGCTGTGCTGCTGAGAGCACTCACAGACTCACCACCACTCCGTTTTTTTATTCCAAAGCCCCCCCTTAATACCTGACATGCTTGTGTGGATGAGGTGCAGTGGGCTGGGTCCATATCGGCATGGTAGTGCTCTGCCGATGATAGTACCTGCCTTAGTAATTGACAAAATGGTACTCCCTCAGTACCTGACATGCACGTGAGTGGGGTGGGCTGGGTCCATATCGGCATGGTAGTGCGCTGCTAAGATCACTCACACACTCACCATGTCATTCACTTGCACAGCACATCATGCACAGCACAGCGCACTAGCACAACACCCGCCCCGCCTTAGTACCTCACATGCACATGAGTGCGATGGGAAGGGTCCATGTCGGCATGGTAGTGCGCTGCCGGGATGCCCCGCAGCGACAGCTCCGATGCTACCTGAGAGGCATAGGAGGTGACAGAGGTGAGTCAAGATGAGGAGGGGTTTCTTATAAGGCACCTCACTATGCACGTGGGCTGGGTCCATATCGGCACGGTAGTGTGCTGCTGGGGATCCACGCGGCGACAGCTCTGATGCTACCTGAGAGGGAACGAAATGAGAGAAGCAGTAGACGATGCACAGGCCCAAAGGGGCATGAATCGAACTGAGAATGAATGAACTGAGTGATTGAATCCACAGCAGCTGCTGCATACCTGCTCCCACTTCACCAGACCGGCTACCACCGCACTCTATCTGCTCCAACCATGCCTGCTCGCAAGCAGTAAACAATGCCTGAATCAGAAGGAGCATAGTGCTGCAGAATAAAAGGTGAGCAGTATACTCCACAACAGCTGCTACATACCTGCTCACACCATTTTTAGTCACACTGTACCTGCTCGCACTCCTTTCTTGAGAAGCAGTAGACGATGCCCGAGTAAGAAGGAACGTAGTGCTCCAGAATGAAGTGAGTTACAGACTCCACATCCGATCTCCTCCCACCGCACTGTACCTACTCACACCATACATCTTCCCATCCTACCTGCTCGCACTCCTTGCGTGAGAAGCAATAGACAATGCCCGAGTCAGAAGGCGCATAGTGCTCCAGAATGAAGTGAGCAATCGACTCCACAGCAGCAGCTGCACCAGGCGGCTTCTCCCGCACCTGAGAAAGACAGAGGTAAGGTATGGTAGGTACCACGTATAAGCAGCGGAATAAGGTGCGATTCAATCATGAGCTTTGACTTGATTGAAAAAGGAAGCTTTTGATTCAGCTTAACACGGAATTGACTAGCGGTAAGTCGAATCGGCAACAACCACAAACAACCACATTCAAACGCATTCAACCGCATTCAACCACATTCACTACACACACCTCATAGAAGAGGTTGGGTCGATTGACAGAGGAAACAAAGAGCTCGCATCGCCGCATTTGAAGCATGTCCCTCACATCATCCCTCACTCGTTCAGTTGCTGTTGCCTTGAGGGTAAGGGGAGAGAGGGGAAGAGGGAGGGAGAGGGGGGTGGGGGGGGGGGGGGGGGGGGTCGGAGGGAGAGGTGGGATGCTATTCTGAAGAATTCTGGAAAATGAGAATGTTAAAAAAAGTAAAAAAAAAAAAAAAAAAAATCTTAGAAGTGAGAATTCTCAAAAGTGTCTCATAGACTGAGGAAGCAACGGTGACTCACTGTGAGAGCGAGCATGGGCGTCTTGGGGAACTGCTTTTTCAGAACTGAGAGATGAGCTTAGTCATAGTCATGCCTTCACTAGACAGAGACACGGTAACGACTGAAAGGGGAAGGGCGAGCATGGACGTCTTGGGGAACTGCTTCTTGAGCACAGACAGATGAGCATAGTCAGGGCAAGACACCCTTTCCCGCCCCCTCTCTCCTCCATCTTGGACACTGACACGGAGAAAGTCAAGCACTCACTGCAAGGGCGAGCACTCACTGTGAGGGCGAGCATGGGCGTCTTGGGGAACTGCTTCTTGAGCACAGACAGATGTGCGTAGTCGGGGCAGGGGACCTTTTCCCGCCCCCTCCCCCCTCTTGGCACTATGAGGTGAGGGCAGCACCACTATGAGAGCAGCACCACAATGAGAACAGCACTCACTGTGAGGGCGAGCATGGGCGTCTTGGGGAACTGCTTTTTCAGAACTGAGAGATGAGCATAGTGGGGCGGGGGGGCATGAGACCAGCACACGGTTTAACTCATTATTCTCATAATCTTCTTTGACTGAGGAAGAAGCGGTGACTCACTGTGAGGGCGAGCATGGGCGTCTTGGGGAACTGCTTTTTTAGCACTGAGAGATGAGCATAGTCGGGGCGGAAATCATGGCCCCACTGGCTGCAGCAATGCGCCTCCTGATAAGGGAAGAGGGAGGAGGAGGGGTTGAACAGGGGTGTGGGGGAAAGTGAATGTGTAGGAGGGGCATAGTCAGGGACAAAAGTCATGCCCCCACTGGCTGCAGCAGTGCGCCTCCTGAGAAGGGGGTCAATAAAGAGTGAGGAGGGAGGGTGGGGACAATAAAGGAGTGGTGGGAGGGGAGTGCAGAGAAGGGATGGGCGTAGTCGGGGCCAAAGTCATGGCCCCACTGGCTGCAGCAATGCGCCTCCTGAGAAGGAAAAAACACCAGGGGGGAAACCAGGTAGAGGGTGAGGGGAATTGGGATGGGGGGAAGTGCTGTGTTGCCTAATCGGGGCAAGAGTCATGCGGTTACTGTGTGCTTACCATGTGGTTACCATGTGGTTACCACTCTACTGTACACCCGCTCACATCTATGGCAAAAGGCTTAGCCTCCCAGCAGCATGGCACTTCTCCAGCTTCGACATCAACCGCTTGCTGCTCGTCATGTGGGGTTGCTGTGTGCCTACTGCGTGCCAGCACTCACATCTATGGCAATCAATGAGAGCCTCCCAGCAGCATGGCGCTTCTCCAGCTTCGACATCAACCGCTTGCTGCGTGCCACCTTCTCAGGAGTGACGTATAGCAGTGAGGTGCGGTTACCGCATGAGCACTCACATCAAATGAGCACCCATGTCAGTACTCACATCTATGGCAATAAGAGATAGCATTCCAGCGGAGTGGCACGTCTCCAGCTTCGACATGAACTGCTTGCTCCTCGCCACCTTCTCAGGCGTCACAAGGTGGTATGGTAAGGAGCGGTTACCGCATGAGCAGTGACATCCCATGGGAACTCACATCTATGGCAATGAGACTCAGTCGCCCAGCAGCGTGGCACTTCTCCAGTTTGAACATGAACCGCTTGCTCCTCGCCACCTTCCCAGGAGTCATGTATAGCAGCTTCACTGAGGTGTGGTTACCATGTGGTTACGATGTGGTTACCATGTGGTTACCACCCATACAGATACTCACATCTATGGCAATCAATGAAAGCCTCCCAGCAGCGTGGCACTTCTCCAGTTTGGACATGAACCGCCTGCTCCTCGCCACCTTCTCAGGAGTCACGTATAGCAGCTTCAGCCCTGCTGCTGCTCCTGCTGCTGCTTCTTCTGCTCTCCCTTTACCTTCTCCTTCTCTCCCTTTACCTTCTCCTTCCTCTCTTTCCCCCCCATACTCTCCTCCCCACTCTTCCTCCTCCTCCTCGCTCTCCGCCTCCTCGTCGTTGCCTCTCTTCCGTTTTCCTTTCCCTCTTCCCCCTCCTCCCGCTCTCCCCCTCCCTCTCCCTCGACTCGGTTTTCCTGCCGCGCTCTTCCCTCTCCCTCTCCCCCCTCCCCCCTTCGCACTCCCCCGTCCCCTTCCCCTTCCCCCTCCACCACTCCCCCCCACCCCTTCCCCATGCTCCAAAGTATTATAGATTGCCCTTTCCTCCTCTTTGGACGTTGTAGATGTGAGCATGGCCGCTGGCACGCCAAAGCCTGACAGGCACATGACCTGTGTGGTTGGGGGGAGGAGAGAGGGAAGTAGGTGGATGTTCAGTAGCCCAGAGTATTGTAAATCGCCCTTTCCTCGTCTTTGGACGTTGTAGATGTGAGCATGGCCGCTGGCACGCCAAAGCCCGACAGACACATGACCTAGTGGGGAGAGGAGAGGGTGAGGACAAGGGGGAGGGGAGGTGACTTTTGAGTCGACTCAAAAGTCACCTCGTTACCATGGCACACGACTCAAAAGACTTTTGAGTCGACTCAAAAGTCACCTCGTTACCATGGCACACGACTCAAAAGACTTTTGAGTCGACTCAAAAGTCACCTCGTTACCATGGCACACGACTCAAAAGACTTTTGAGTCGACTCAAAAGTCACCTCGTTACCATGGCACACGACTCAAAAGACTTTTGAGTCGACTCAAAAGTCACCTCGTTACCATGGCACATGACTCAAAAGACTTTTGAGTCGACTCAAAAGTCACCTCGGCACCCCAAAGCCTGACAGGCACATGACCTAGTGGGGAGAGGAGAGGGTGAGGGCAAGGGGGAGGGGAGCAAACAGAGGGGCTTAGAATATATCACCCTCTCCTCGTCTTTGGACGTTGTAGATGTGAGCATGGCCGCTGGCACGCCAAAGCCTGACAGGCACATGACCTAGTGGGGAGAGGAGAGGGTGAGGGCAAGGGGGAGGGGAGAAAAGAGAGGGGCTTAGAATAGATCGTCCTTTCCTTGTCCTTGGAGGTTGTAGAAGTGAGCATGACAGCCGCCACTCCCCCCCACCCCTTCCCCATGCTCCAGGGTATTATAGACCGCCCGTTCCAAGGTGACTTTTGAGTCGACTCAAAAGTTTGCTCCAGGGTATTATAGACCGCCCGTTCCTCGTCTTTGGAGGTGGTAGATGTTGTTATTAGTAAACAGGTGGGCTGCGGAGGTCTGATGTCCATCAACTTGAGTGTTATTAAGACGGCGAGACAAACTCCATGAGATGAAAGTGGGTATTATAGACCGCCCGTTCCTCGTCTTTGGAGGTGGTAGATGTGAGCATGGCTGCCGGCACACCAAAGCCCGACAGACAAATGACCTGTGTACGTGTGTGTGGGGGAGAGCAAGCAAGAGAGCCAGGCAAGAGCAGCGTGATCACCCAAGAGAGAGAGAGCAGAGCAGAGAGAGCCCTCTGCTAATCACCCACCTGGTCGTGGATGTATAACCTCACACTATACTGTCATCGTACTCACCTGGTCGTGTATGAGACACAGCAGACGGCTGACAACCAGGGAGATGCCTGGGGAGAGCAGTGCAGGCAGCTGGTAGCAGAGGGGAGGGAGGCTATATACATTGGCAGTAGGTAGAACCACACACTATATTGTAACTACCCACCTGGTCGTGGATGAGAGCCAGCAGAGGGCTGACGACCAGGGAGATGCCTGGCGAGAGCAGCGCTGGCAGCCGGTGGTAGGTAATCACAGCACATACTTATCATCACACCTGATCATGAATCAGAGAGAGCAGAGGGCTGACGACCAGGGAGATGCCTGGCGAGAGCAGCGCTGGCAGCCGGTGGTAGGTAATCACAGCACATACTTATCATCACACCTGATCATGAATGAGAGAGAGCAGAGGGCTGACGACCAGGGAGATGCCTGGCGAGAGCAGCGCTGGCAGCCGGTAGCAGAGGCTCTTACATTGTGTACATAACTACAGCACGCATAATCACACTGCATATAACCACACTACATGATATCACAGTACCTACCTGGTCGTGAATGAGCGACAAAAGTGGGCTGACGACCAGGGAGATGCCTGGGTATAGCAGTGCAGGCAGCTGGTAGCAGAGGCTCTTCCCGCCCCCTGCTGGCATGATGACAAACACATCTCGTTTACACAACACGGCGTTGATGATCTGATGAGGGGAGGGACGAAGGGAGAGGAGAACGATAAGCAAGCATTGCAGCAGGGCAGCAGGGCAGAAAGTGAGCAGTGCAGATAGCAGCGCTGGCAGCTGGTAGCAGAGGCTCTTCCCGCCCCCTGCTGGCATGATGACAAACACATCCCTCTTGCACAGGACTGCATTGATGATCTGATGGGATGGAGAGGGATGCAGTCAGATTGGCAAGGACAGTGGTGCTGGCAGCTGGTAGCAGAGGCTCCTGTCCCCCCCTGCTGGCATGATCACGAACGCGTCCCTCTTGCACAGCACTGCGTTAATGATCTGACGAGGGGAGAGGGGAAAAGTTGCGCGAGGAGAGAAGAGAAAGGAGACTAATAACGCCTCTGCAGTGAGGGCACACTAGCAGCTGGTAGCAGAGGCTCTTGCCCCCCCCTGCTGGCATGATCCCAAACACGTCTCGCTTGCACAACACTGCGTTGATGATCTGATGAGGGGAGTGAGAAAGAGGAGCGAGTGGAGAGTGGAGAGAGGAGAATAATAAGGTCAGTGCGGTGGTAGGGAAGAAGGGCAGAGGCGCTGGCAGCTGGTAGCAGAGGCTCTTGCCGCCCGCCCTGCCGGAATGACCACAAACACGTCCCGATTGCACAACACCGTATTGATGATCTGAGAGGAGGGGAGAAGCACTGCTGGAGGGGAGAAGCAGGGAGGAGAAAGGAGAGTGCTATGGACAGGTTGACTGAGGACAGTGGTGCTGGCAGCTGGTAGCAGAAGCTCCTGTCCCCCCCTGCCGGAATGACCACAAACACGTCCCGTTTGCACAGGACTGCATAAATGATCTAAAACAGGGAGGGAGGGCAGGGCAGATCCTGTACTTGCCTGCCCCCCAGCCTGGCCCCATACCGTCCCTGCTTCCGAGCCTTCTCCCTTACCTCCCTCTGCTGCGATCTGAACCGTCCGATCCCAAACACATCTCGCCCAACCGCAGCCACCTGGGCGTCCCATTCAAAGGGAGCTTGCCACCTCGCCACCGATCCCAACCCTGCTGCACCTGCTCCTCCTCCCGCTCCTCCTCCTGCTCCCCCTGTTCCTCCTGATCCTCCTACTCCTCTTGACCCCCCCACACCCACAGCTACTCCTTGCTCAGATTTTGCACCACCACCACCATCACCACCATTACCAGCGTTCCTGTTAAAATCATTTTTGCTCTCACTGGCAGCTTGGCTATTAGCATTCGCGTTATTAGCAGCAGCCCACGCGGCTGCAGCCGCAGATGACGCCTCTAGTCTGGAGTTAATCTCCTCGCGTCTCTTGATTAGCTGCTCCTGCTCTTCTAGCAGCGATTCTACCTCCTCCTGTATTTTCTGCAGACGCGCTTCGACGTCTTCCCGCTCATCCTCTAGCTCTAGCGCCAATCGCGGGTCCATCGGCCGGCCACCGGCGAAATTCACGGCGGGATCGGCGGCGGGAGTACCAGCGGAATTTCCGGCGGGAATCCCGGCGCGATCACCGGCGCTGCCGGCACCGCAGCTTGGGGAAGAAATGCGCTCGCCGCGCTCGAGACGCTCCCATTGGTCGTCGCTCAGGTCAATAAAATCGTCCATGGTAAGCGCTTGAACTATCAGTATATGCTTCACGTTATGAACAAACAAATTTCACTAGGAAACATCACGCGAAAGTCCCGAAGTCAGACTAAATTAACGAATCCTGAAGCAGAAACCTCTGACACACTCTCAGAAATTCTGACACAATTTTCCGAAATTCTGACACACTTTCCGATTTTCAAGCTAATTGCAAAAACGTAAGTGTTGTGAAAACAACTGTTCTTACATAACTGACATTCTGGCGCTCTTTCCGCAAACTGTTTGTACTTCATTCTATCGTGCAGCCGGGGAAAACAAATCTATACCCCTTTCAGATGGCAAATGAATTTGAGAGGCGACCCTAAACTCCTTGCGAGAAGGCGTTTATGGTAAAAAAAACGAAACATGTAATTCTAAAGAGGTGTATTTTTCCCACATGCAAAAATTCTCCAACGTTGCAGTAATTACAAAAAGTAAAAGCCCCGAGGTCCTTTCGGGGAATGTTTTTTTTTTTAATAATTTTGCAAGTTCGCAATCATGCTATCCAAAATCATATTTTAACCGTTTTTGTACGAGCTACATATATATTTAAAACGGATCTGAAACTTTTCGGTCCGTGGTAATAGAATAAACGGGGTCCTTCAAAGTCGCGGCGGGACTTGTTCAAAAAAGACAAAACTATGTGTAAAATCTTTCAAACTCGATAAATTCCTCTTCGTCAGGATCATTTCGGCGGGAGTTTCATGTAGTTACCATTCGCGTGATGGGCTGCTAGTGTATAGTTACCATACGCGTTAAACGAGTTACCAAACGTGTTAAGCAAGTTACCAAACGCGTTAAGCGAGTTACCAAACGCGTTGAAATCGTTACCGTACGCGTTATAGTGCCCCATGTAAGTTATCATTGACACATTTTCCCATGATCCTATCACCACTGTGATTACATGCACAGAAGGTATAGTAGACTGATTGCTGGTGCATCTGACATGGCCTTACGGAGATTTTTATATCATAACACGGTAGGTACAAACAGGCTACATAACTCAAATAAATCACAAGTTGTATAATAGCAGAAACTAGTGGGGCTGCTGGTGGCACATCACACACAGCCAGCCAGCCAGCCAAGCGTCAACCAGGAATCAGATAGAGTGTTGCTGTGGCCGCAAATGCGAACAGGTCAGCCACATTGCATGCAGCACGTGTCAGAACAAAGGCAGCTGAGAAGACAAATGACATGTTATTTATTAGAGTAAGCAGTTGCACAGACAGTGCGACATGGGTAACAGTGAATGATTTCGCAGCAATGAGCAGCAGTCACAAGGACCAGTCACGAGCAGCAATCACATCACATGCAGACACGTGCCAGATAAGATAGCTGGGGAATCAAATGGCATACACTGAGCACAAGCAGTCATACATGGGGAAAGGAGGGGAATGCAGAGTGCATGTGCGAGAACAGATGAGGGGTGAGTGGGGGGAAGGTGGGGGAAGGGCGGGGCGGATGAGGACAGCAGTCACACTGGGAGTGCCACATGTAAACACAAGCAGCCATTCAGGGAGAAGCGAGGGGAATGCGGAGAGCATGGGCGAGAACAGATGAGGGGTGAGTGGGGAAAAGGTGAGGGAAGGGCGGGGGGGGAATGAGGGGTAGCTACGCTGTGGTAGAGGGGAGGGGGGTGAGAGAGATGAGGGTAGTGAGGGGGCGGTGGCAGGGGAGGGGAGGGAGATGAGGGGTGATCGTGATGGAGAAGAAGCATGAGCGGAGGAAAAGTTGAGGTATGGGTGTTGGAGGGGGGATGAGGGGTGAGTCAGAAAAGGGGGAAGAGGGGAGGAGGGGGGAAGAGGGGGAACGAGGGGTGAATCGAGGGGAGCTGAGGATGGGCGTGAAGGAAGAGAACAATAGAGCGCAACAGTGATGAGAGTGGGGGGTTGGGAGGGTGACTGGAAAGAGGGGGGAATGAGCGGAGAATGGGGATGCTTGGTGAAGGAAGAGAACAATAGGGAGGTGGGGGGGGGGGGGGGGGGGGAGGGGGGGAGGGAAGGGAAAAACAGGGGGAAATCGTAGCTTCGCCCTTTCGCCAGTCCTCTCCGTCCATATCCCCTCTTCTCCCCTCCGCTCCGCCCACCTTCGTCTTTCTTCTCCCCTCTGCTCACCTCCCCTCCGCTCCCGTCCTCCCTTTTTCCCGTCTTGCGTCCAGGCTGGGACCGTCGACGCGCACTGAAGTCCTGGAAGATGAGGGGAGCGTGGAAAGGGGAGGGGAAAAGCGGAAAGGGGAGGAAAAAAGCGGAAAGGAAAGGGGAAAAGCGGAAAGGGGAGGAGAAAGGCGGAATGGGGAGCGGAAAAGCGGACAGGGGAGAGAAAAAAGCGGAAATGTAGGGGGAAGGGGAAAGTACAGAGGCTTCCAACTTTCTCCAGTCCTCTCCTTCATTTCCTGCTCTCGATGCTCTGAAGTCACGAGGGGGAAAGCGAAAAGGGGAGGGGGAAGGGGAAATTACCGTCACCTCCCCTCACCTCCTTTTCCGCGTCTTGCGTCCAGGATACCGTCGACGCTGTGAAGTTGACGAAAGGCGCTATCTACTCGACGAAACCCGCTACGTTACTGATGCATACGAAATCGACCATAGTAATTCGTCCGCCGAAAGACGTCCGCATTACGCAAGTAAATAGAAGTAAGATCTGGTGCCTCAACTTGAACTGGCTTGCCGATAATGCTATGTCTGTTCAGATCCGGTACTGCTAGCACGCCAAGCGTAAAGCAATTAAAACTAAGAACGACCGAGGGCGTGAGCGACACTTGCTACATGAAATTTTCGCTGCCATGAAAGCACTTACATCGACTACCGCGCTGAGATCTGTCCTCACGAACTAACAAGATGCGTGGCGAAAACTAGTACTAAATGCAAATTAGTGTCTGAGCTAATGCAAGTTACACCCTACTGCTGTGACGAAGCACATCTGGACAATGACGGGTGAAGGGAGGTGTGGTAGGTTCGGTTCGGAGTACCAGGTCCGGTGGTTGTGCCGGGGTGTCAAAAACAACTTCGTTCCATTGGTTCGCGAAATTTTCTTCTCATCCATCCATTGTTATTCCAGCTGCCCTAGGCAGGTTCGGCTGAACTTTTCCTAAACCAGAGCCGTCCCGCACCTCACGGAAAACTCTCGCGGATCAGCTGAAAAAAACGCATGGCCCGCTATAAATAGCGCCACGTCAACCACCACCTAGACGGCTCAAGCCTGCCCTTGCTGTTGCACACCAACAAACCTCCCTAACCAGAAATACTCGCCTTTGGCAAACGCGTTTACACACAGAAAAGTCAATCCGATTTGTATAGCCCGAATGTGCAAAATGAATGTGCTGTACAACTTGGGTTGAACTGGATGGATAAGGCGGGGGCACAATTTCAGCCGCCTCGAAATGTTCTCCACGCGCCGCTTAGACGAATGTCCCCTCCCTGCCTGCCGCAATCTCGCCGCGGCATTTCATTGGCTCATGACACATGCCACCACACCTCCTCACCGTTGCGGTCGCCTGCACCACCACCATCCATCCTTTCACATCACAATCAACTGTATCGCACCGCGCGCCCAGCCTGGTGTCAGGATCCAGAAATTCCCTCCCACACAGTTTAGACCACACCAGTGCCGCGCCCCGTCCACCGCACTGCACCTTGGTATATGCTGTTTTATTGTATCACTCCTACCTGCATTCACCTATCACTTTTGGGTTGAAGAGGCGCTAAGACGTACCGCGACCGCCGCCGTTCAGAATGGCTGCCGCTGAATTCGTTCATCCACTGATCAGCAGCACGCTTTCCTTCTGCTTCAACAACTACCTTCCGCTTGCTCCTCTCTCGAGCTTCATCCGCTCCATATAATTTAGCGATGTTGCCTTTGTAGCGTTCTTTTCCTTCCTTTTCAAACTTTGGAAGGGTTTTCAAAGAGCTCCAATCTAATGAGCTCCTGAAGCTACCTGAAGCACACGGTGAAGCTCGAAGCACGAGGCGGCGTTGAGTTAGGGGTTGGGGTGGGTGGGTAGGTGTCGTGAGGAGCGAGCTGCCAAGTGTTTCGAGCCGAACCGTGTGCTGACGGATTTTCGCGGCAACATATCATCGCGACAAGATAATGATCTCCACTGCAAGATCTATGTTCCGCAAGATCATCTCTACAAGCGCAGAAAGAGCTTCAGGCTGGTGGTGCGAAATCCCGTCACCGCTAGTGGCACCACTCAAGATGCTGGTGCTGCGAGTTCTTCGCAGCAATGTCTCCGCTCTTCAAGAGCCTCGGGAGCTTCGAAGTTTCACATGAGATCCGAAGTGGCGAAGACCCGAAGGTCAAGATCCGGCACGGCTCGCGGCGACCGTCGCCGCGATAGACGCTTCATCGCCGTGTAAGATTCGACGTGGCGAGGACCCGAAGGTCAAGATCCGGCACGGCTCGCGGCGACCGTCACCAACTTGTGAGGTTAGTCACGCTGGATCATTGTCGCTGGTTCCTTTTTTTGTTCCCTTCTTTAGTTTGGCTCTGAGTGACTTCGGTTCTTCTTGTTACTAATCCTTGGTTGCCTTCTTCTTTTCAGACGCAAGCCGTCTTTATGACGGAAGCACTCAAGCATAACCAACGGGTTTCAAGAACGCCTCCAACGGGTTTCAAGAACGCCTCCAACGGGTTTCAAGAACGCCTCCAACGGGTGTCAAGAACGCCTCCAATGGGTTTCAAGAACGCCTCCAACGGGTGTCAAGAACGCCTCCAACGGGTGTCAAGAACACCTCCAACGGTTCGCCACCGCCGCCAGTGGCGGACTTGTGGACTGGGTTGAGGTAAGTAAATAGAGTTGGACTTTAGTTTAACTTGATTTTTCTTCTCCTTCTTTTGAGCGGCACTGAAGTATTGCCTTTTTTTACTTTTTTTTTTTTCAGGCCCAAGCCAAGCTCGACGCGGTAGGTGCTTCAAGCTGGAAATTCTACAGAAGTCGACCTGAAGCCGATCTCACCCCGCCGCGAGACGCGAATCATCGCCGTTTGAGAGGCACTCATGCATGAAACTGGCGAGGACTTGAAAGGTCGCCACGGATCCGGAAGGATCCGGCACGGCTCGCGGTCGTCACGGAAGGAAGTCAGGATCCGGCACGGCTCGCGGCGACCGTCGCTGATCGTGTTGGGGTAAGTGAATCATTGTCCTTAGTTTTGTTGCCTTCCTTAGTTTTGCTCTGATCGCTGATCTTTTCTTGCCTTCAGCACTTAGGTACTTTGGTTCTTCTTTTTACTAATCCTTTGTTTGCTTTCTCTTTTTCAGACATAAGTCATGCCGGAAGCGGATAGGAGCTTCGACCTCCGGACGGGTCGCACTCAAGCATACCGGAAGAACGCCTCCTGCCTTTGGCGCTTTGAGGACCTGAAAGGCGTCGCCAACTGTTGTCATGACCGTCGACAACTGTTCACCAACCGTCGACTTGGGGTACGTAAACCAGGTTGGACTTTGATCAAACGTCGTGTTGTTTCTTTGTTTCTTCTTTGAGTAGTGCTAATGTGTTGCCTTTTCCTTTTCAGACCGTCATTGGCGACGTCATTGGTGACCTCATTGACGACATCATTGACGACCTCATTGACGACCTCATTGACGACCTCATTGACGACCTCATTGACGACCTCATTGGCGACCTCATTGGCGACCTCATTGACGACCTCATTGGCGACCTCATTGGCGACCTCATTGACGACCTCATTGGCGACCTCATTGGCGACCTCATTGACGACCTCATTGGCGACCTCATTGGCGACCTCATTGACGACCTCATTGGCGACCTCATTGACGACCGTCTCACAAGATAGCGAGACGAGGTGCATTGCGAGAGGCTACGCCGAGCTGCATTCAAGCATTCAAGGTCGCCTCGCCTCCCTTCGCCAATGACGGACTTGTCGCCAATAAATCACTTCAAACTGTTTGCTTCAAGCAACTTCGGTTTTTCTTTTTTTACAAGTACTAATATGCTGCCATCTTCTTTTTCCAGATCTCGGCGGCCTTCTTGGCGACAGTCATGGCGACCGTCTTGCCGACCGTCAATGACGCCACGCACGATCGTCGCCACGCTCGCCGTCGCAGTCACGATCGCCGTCGCCGTCGCCGTTGCTCCTGACGCTCACCGTTGACTCGAAAGCTCCTACAAAGTCAATGGCGCAGTCACGATCGCCGTCGCCGTCACGCTCGCCGTCACCGTTGCTCCTGACGACGAAGCTGGCAGCAGTCATGGCGACCGTCGCCAATGACGGGCTTGTCGCCAAATGGTTGGGGTACGTAGATCTCTTCCAAGTGTTGCTTCTAGTAACTAATACGCCAATGGTTTTTTTTTTTTAACACAAGTACTAATATGCTGCCTTCTTCTTTTTTCAGATCTCGGCGGCCTTCTTGGCGACACTCATGGCGACCGTCATGACTCGAAAGCTCCTACCGCTCCTACCGTCATGACTCGAAAGCTCCGACCGCTCCTACCGTCATGACTCGAAAGCTCCTACCGTCATGACTCGAAAGCTCCTACCGTCATGACTCGAAAGCTCCTACCGTCATGACTCGAAAGCTCCTACCGTCAATGACGCAGTCACGATCGCCGTCGCCGTCATGCCCGCCGTCGCCGTTGCTCCGCCAAGACTAGTCCCGCTGGAACGCTGCTGCCGACAAGTCCCGTCGCTGCCGCTCGTCTCCGTCAAGACAAGTCGTCACTCTGCCGGTAAGCACGTCGCTGTACTTTTCCAATCGCTTTTCTTTCCCGTCGTTTTTATTTATGCCATTTTCTGAGGCGCAGTACTAAACTGATTCTGTTTTCTGATGCAGACCTTTTGGCGGCCGAAGCTGGCCGAGACTTCAAAGGCCAAGTGAATGACGCCAAGTCCCGCTGACTTCAAACGCCAAGTCAATGACGCCAAGTCCCGCTGACTTCAATCGCCAAGTCAATGACGCCAAGTCCCGCTGACTTCAAACGCCAAGTCAATGACGCCAAGTCCCGCTGACTTCAAACGCCAAGTCAATGACGCCAAGTCCCGCTGACTTCAAACGCCAAGTCAATGACGCCAAGTCCCGCTGACGGCCTCTCCCGTCGCTGCCGCTCCGCCAAGACAAGTCGTCACTGGTGATTCTCTTCTTTGAAGCCTCGCTTGTCTTTGGCGGCTCCGCTTCGTTCCGTGTTCGCTTCGCTAACGTGTCGTCTCTTCTTTCCTGCAGAACCTGACCACAAAGACGCGGATGACGCGTGGCGGGCGATGACTCACGGATGGCGAAACGCGGTGACGCGTGGCGACGTGTTTGGCGAAGGACGAAGCGCGTCTCACGGCGGTTCGCTACCGTGACCGCGCCACTGACCGTCACTGCGCTGCTATGGTGCATTCCTTCCTTCCTTCGTTTCCTTCGTTCGTTTCCTTCAAGGTTTCGGTTCTAATGTTGTTGCTGTCTTCCTGCAGAGCGTACGAACGACTTACGGCGGCGCGTAGCACCTAGCACGACATGACGGATGACGCGTCTCACGGGCCGACGACGCGTCTCACGGGCCGACGACGCGTCTCACGGGCCGACGACGCGTCTCACGGGCGGATGACGCGTCTCACGGGCGGATGCCGCGTCCCACGGGCGGATGCCGCGTCATCACAAACAACCCTCGTGGGGCTTCGAGGGAGTTTGGGTGCAACAAATTTTGCTGCGTTGGGGTTCGACGCGATTCGTGCCAAATTGGCCAGAAATTGGCGGGTGCAAGCAAAGCGCGTCAAGTCGAAGTCCAAATTCATCGAGCCGCGACATTTCAGAAATCGCGGCTTTGTTACTGTGCAATTTCGGGTCAACAAATTGACCAATGTAACACCACGCCCCAAGAAGACCGAAATTGGACCACAAAGGGTCTAACATTGATCCTACATTACACTACAAATGACAGTAGTTTTAGTAACAAGTTTAAAATTCATCAATGCATGGATCTCCTCGCAGCACTTATGCGTCCACATGCTACCGTTGTCCGTGGGAGCCCCCCAAAGTAATAGACTACACAATGCAACAGCAGATTTATCCCCTAAGTTGATACTTGTTGAGCAGATACGCAGAGTCGCTATGGAACGCCTTGATAACGTGCACCTCCCTGCATATTGAGCCGGCGTCGATCACAGCATAAAGTGATCGCCCGGGAGTCCAAGCAAGCCGGGTGCAACCAGTTTTCGCATCCTCGCCCGCCCTGGTCCAGTACTTGACATATGCAAACTCCTTCTTGCAGCCCCCGACCATGGTATGGAACAGAAGCAGGAGTTTCCCATACCATTCAGTGTTGCTCCCATCTCGCACAGTCCCCATGACAGCCACATCCGAGAACCAGGGCCTTGAGTATGAATCAGGGGCGGCTCTCACAAAATGAGCGACACGTGAGAAATGTTCTCCCTCTGCCGCCGGAATTGCCATCGTTGTGTGCGCCTGCAAAACCAACATTACAATGGCACATACGGCAAATCAGAATGCTACTATCCCAACACCCAGCAGAGACGAGATGCCTAACACGGGCAACACCTTGCAGACACCAAGCGACAACCCAGCCACGACGGTCTTGAAGGCTAGTGCCTGCCCAGGAACCACACCTGGCCGTAGGAGATAAGGAGGGAGGCGGGAAGGAGCAACGTGTTTAGGGTGGAAGGGGACGATGCCAGGGATTACGGTGATAGGGGGGGGGTGAGCAGTAGGCATTTATGGAAGCAACAACCGGCATAGGGCTCAGCATTGAGTGTGGGCTGGCGGATGCGGTGGAAACAGCAATGGGTATAGCATGGAGGTGGGGGTAGGCAGCAGCAATGGGCGTGGCGGGGGTAATGAGTAGACGTCAGTGGGGGACGCATAAGTCGGGCTATGGTTCGGCTAATGACGGTGAAGTTCTGTGTTCTTGTGCTTGTAGACTATAGCGTCATTTGGGGAGGCAGAGGTTTGTAGGATGGGACCTTGTGGCTTGTAGGGCATTTTCTACTGATGAACCTGTTTGTTGGTATGGTGGCTTGTTTAATTAATATTAAGCTGGGTTTAGTGCTTGATGTTGTGAAAATATGTGCATGAACCGCGCAATGATGTAATACCATCTAATCCCAAAATAACTACACAATTGGACATATTTTGGTTTGATTTTAGGCTGATCCAGGTCCAATCTAGTCATACCCTGGTTGGTGTATTTTTTGGCCAAAAGGTGTATGTCCAAGTACACGAAAATTGGTCCTGGTTTTGGTGTCCAAAATTGGACTGGTCATGGTCCAATTTTGGGTCGAAAGTACAATTTTGGTCAAATTTAGGCCCAAACTAGTGGCCCTTACTTTGTGACGGTCTCACGGGCGGACGGCGCGTCTCACCGGCGCGTGGTCGTATTTTCTCGTTTTTGTAATTGGTTGCTTCGTTTTCCTCGTTATTCCTCGTTTTTCCTCATTATTCCTCGTTGTTTTCTCGTTGGTTTCTCTCTGCCATGGTATCATGATGGGTTGAGTCGTCATGTGAGCAGGTTGTTAGCTTAACGAGGAGTCTGCGGGCGTTTCGCGGGCGGACGGCGCGTCTACCGAGGCGCTTGGCGGCGCTTCCATTTCCTTTTTCTCGTTTCTGTTATGTTTGTTTCCGTTTTCTTGCAATTTTTCTCTCTGGTTTTGTATTTCTCTATGCCGCGATATCATGACGTGTGGCAACGCCATGTGAGCAGACTCGCAGATCTTAGGCAAGAAGAAAGCTTCACACGAGGAGTCTGCGGGGTTGTGCGAGCGGGGTTGGGGCAGGGCGGCAGCGGAGAGCGAGGGTAGCCCCAGCCCGACCTCTCCGCTCCCCCTCCCGCTCCACTGCCCCTTCCGGCACTGCACCGACTATCTTCACCGACTTCCGGCACTGCACCGACTATCTTCACCGACTTCCGGCACTGCATTCCCTTGGTAATCTGTCATTCCGGTTTCTTGCTTTGGTTTTTTTTCCAGATTCTGACTTGTTCGTGTGTGATCTCCTTTAGCGCAGGAGCAGCAAGAGTGGGAGCTATGGCGCTGGAGGCGCGACGGGAAAGCGAGTTCAACTTCAAGCTTCACGTGGTACGCTGTCAATTCCGGTTTACCATTGTTATTTTATTCAGATTCTCACTTCTTCTTTTGTGCTCTCCGTTTTAGTGCAGCTCACGGCGTTGGCGGCGACGGGAGAGGGAGTTCAACTTCAAGCTTCACGTGGTACGCTGTCAATTCCGGTTACCATTGTTATTATTTTCAGATTCTCACTTCTTGTTTTGTGCTCTCCGTTTTAGTGCAGCTCGCGGCTTGGGAGCGGCGGGAGCTCACGGCGCTAGCGGCAACGACTCATCCACGTGGTACGCTGTCAATTCCAGTTTCCTTGTAATTTTCTTGCCGGATTCTAACTTCGTGCTTCGTGTGTTAGTGCAGCTCACGGCGTGGAAGCGAGCGGGAGCTGACGGCGCTAGCTGCAACGACTCATCTTACGTGGTACGCTGTCAATTCCAGTTTCCTTGTAATTTTCTTCCCGGATTCTAACTTCGTGCTTCGTGCTTTGTGTTATTAGTGCAGCTCACGGCGTGGAAGCGGGAGCGGGAGCTGACGACGCTAGCTGCAACGACTCAGCTTACGTGGTACGCTGTCAATTCCGGTTTCCTAGTATTTTTTTTCTCCTGGATTTTAACTTTCTTGCTTTGTGCTCTGTGTCAGTTGGAGAGGACAACGGCGGGAGATGGCGGGAGCCAACGGCGGGGACGACACGACGGCGCTGGCGGGGCGGGGGCAACGGCGCTGGCGGGGACAACGGCGCTGGCGGCGAGGAGGGAGGTCCAAGCCGCGTGGAGCGTCGTCCGCGGAAGTTTGACCCCCCCCCTCCCCTCCCCATCCCCCTCCCCTTTGCAGATTCGGGTTTGGGTGGGTTTGGGTGGGTGTAGTTAGGCCGCGCGCGCGGGGGTTGGGTTGGTTGGGGTCAGGTACTGTAATTTGGTACAGGTGCGATTTCCGCGCCTCTTCGGGCAACTCTTCTGACAACCTGGCATCTCTTCAACCGAGGAGCTGAGGTGTTTCCCGCCGCTACAGTAATAATTTTAACCCTCCCCTTCCTTTTTGATATTGTTTTGTGTTTCCCCTCTCCCAAACAGATCCCGCACGAATGACCTCCACCTCAACGCGGTGTGCGGGTGTAACGCTAGAGGCAAATGCCTCTAGCGGCCAAGAGGGGTCATGAAGACTCGAGAAAGCAAGACTCTCAAGACCCAAGCTGAAGCCTCAAGCTCAAGAAGAACCAAGCTGCTCTGGATGGCGCGACTGTAGCAGCTTTAGCAGCTTTGCATGCTAGTTAGTTAGTATTCTATTACGACTTGTTTGTTTGTAATTAATAGACTTAATCAGTTGGCTTTACGAGCAGTTTGCTCTAATAGTGGACTCTATTAGTTGTGTGTTTTTGTTCTAATTTACATCTGGTTCTCCATGGAAAGAACGAGATAAGACTTCTGCTAGCAGGACTTCGCCATGACTAGCTAAGATCACGCGTTAACTTTAGTCGCCGTTAACTATGGTGTTCAGTCGTATACTTTTTAATGAAGGATCCCTATCAATGCGTTCAGTCGCATCGCGCTTCGCCTCCCTATGTTCGAATTATTCTTCCCCTTTTAGCCAGATCGCCACGAGAGGATCCATATCGTCGCGCGTAGTCCCATCGCCCATCGACCCATCGCGCTTCGCCTCGTCGCCGTCCGCCGAAAGCTCGTCAGATCTATTCTCCCCTGGCGTGATTCCTACTCTAGCCTCTAATTTCCCCGACATCGCCTCTTCCGCTCACATTTCCTCGTCGCCGTCCGCAGGAAGCTCGTCAGCTCTATCCTCTCGTAGCCTGATTCCTACTCTACCCTCTCTCGTCCCCGACGTCGGCGCTTCTCCTCGCATTTACTCTTCTAGCCACCTTTCCGCCTCTATATCCCTTTCCGTTTCGACCGATGCTCTCCGCAAAGCTTCTGCTTCTACGTGGCAGATAGCCGCTCCATCCACGTGTGAGATCAGCCCCGTGCGACCGGCTGAAGCGCGCCATGACCCCAATCGCGAAGCCCTAGCCGGCTGTGGAAGACCTACTGCTTTAGTTGAGTCCCCTTATAACGCGGATTCGCCATCAAATGATGCGTCGTTTTCCAGAAGCGCGCCGAGCGGACTCGATGATGATTTCCAGTGTTCGACAGTATATCAGAATTCCAGTAGCTGCCGCGGGAACAGGAGGATTCAGCATCACGAAGACCACCGCTACATTCACTCCGTACAAGGTCACACTCTCTCCAACCATCCACCTACAGTCCATCAAATTACAGCAAAATCAGCACGATTCTTCCATAAATGCCACCGTATCCCTGACCTAATGTCACGTTATGACATTACCTCACGCAAGCACGTGTCTCATAAAGAGTCGCCTCGAGACTCTGTAGCGGGTACAGCGCGGAAGCTACACATTCACCACCATAAGCCTGGGAAGATGTCGTTTTACGATATGACGGTGGAGAAATACGCTGCGCTGCCGCTTAACACCCTGACACTTAGCCAGATGCTGGCTCAGGGGGAGGAGGCGCTTAGAGACCCCACTTTCATGGTGCGCAATGCACGGTGGGTGCTTAGCTAAGTGGGTGAATGAATCTGTGCTGGTTAGTCTCTAAGTAAGTCGGTAGCTACTCCTATTCTCAATTGTTAGGGTTTCGTGTTGTTACTTTCCCTTATGGCAGTACATGTTTCATTATGTGAGTTTCCATACCTGGTTGGCTCTGTGTGTCTTTGTTTGTTTGTTTTTCGTTTTCTCGTTTCTGTTTTCGAATAAGTGTTTCGATGTCTCTCCCTACCCCATTCATCCACTCCCCCAGATTCGTTCATAAAGAGATGCCTATAAGGCTGGCGAAACGGCTCATGGATCTTCAGTTCTTACCCCACATAGTCGTCATCAACCCCCACATCAAGCAGGTAGGGCTGGCTCCGAATTGTGGTCCCTGTAGATCTACAGTGTACAGTGCATGGTAAGTAGCATTCTTGTCATTGTGGCGAAGCGGCTGAAGGATCTTCAGTTCTTACCCCACATAGTCGTCATCAACCCCCACATCAAGCAGGTAGGTTTTGTCGTGTATGCATGGTAGCTGTGGGTCTACAGTAGTTTATAATACTACGCTTATCACTTTGGCAAGATGGCTGATGGACCTGCATTTCTTACCCCACATCGTCGTCATCAACCCCCACATCAAGCAGGTAGGCCTGTGGCTGTATGTATTGTCGCTGTAGATCTACAGTCTATAGTGCATGGTATTGACATGCTCACAGCGTTCGTTCGTCCTTCAGTCTCACTGCACATGCATGTGATGCTCCCATTCCACCCATGTTCATCCCTTTTAACGCATGCTGCAGGTGTATGGTTCCTATCGCCAAGCCTTCGACTTGCTCACTACGTTCCTATTGAGCCTCACTCACTACGCATGCATATGCATGCGCGTTTGCAGGTTTCCCACTCTTATGCAAGTGGGTGCACCCACCCACATTCTGCTCCCACCCACATTCTGCTCCCTCCATCCCATCTGCAAGTGTACGACTCCTACCGCCAGGTCATCCGCATGCTCACTGCATTCCAATTGCGTTTCACTGAATATGCATGTGATGCTCCCATTCCACCCATACCCATCCCTTGATTCGCACGCAGGTGTATGACTCCTACCGCCAGGCCTTTGACATGCTCACTGCGTTCCTCTGGAGTCTCGTTGTGCATGCATCATGCATGTGATGTGATGTTTCCATTCCACCCATGTTCATCCCTTTTTACGTATGCAGGTGCACGACTCCTACCGCCAGGCTTTTGACATGCTCACTGCGTTCATCGGTGCGGCTTGTCTCAGCATGTGTGCTTGCATGTGCTCCCATCTTCATCTCCCCTCTCCCCCATGTGCAGGTGTACGACTCCTACCGCCAGGCTTTTGACATGCTCACAGCATTTCCGGAGATCAAGACTCTCGAAGACAATGTGAAGTTCACTCAGATGCTTACCATGGTGCGTGCTGCTGTACTTATAATGGGGCAGCCTATAGCGGGTACACCACATTCCATCGTGGACATGCTCACAGCATTTCCAGAGATCAAGACTCTCGAAGACAATGTGAAGTTCACTCAGATGCTCACCATGGTGCGTGAAGGGGCAGTCCATAGCGGGTATAATGTCTTCTCTTTGCGTTCTGTGTTTTCAGAAAAGGAATAATGCTGAGTGTGGGAGAGTTCCCCTTAGGATGTCACACGTACACATACACACACCCCTCTCCACCGCTCTCCACCCCACTTAACCATCATCCATCCCCTTGTGTGTCTCAGCTGGTGGACGGTCGCTCGCCGCTGCTGGGGTGCTGGCACGGGGGGTGAGGGAGTGCTCCCCTTAGGCTAACACATGCACGCACACCCTTCTCCACCCCTCTCCACCCCACCCAACCACCAGATCTACCCGTGTGTGTCTCAGCTGGTGGACGACCACACGTGTATCCTGGGAGTGCTGGCACGGGGGGTGAGGGAGTGCTCCCGTTACGCTGTCACATACACACACCCCTCTCCACCCCTCTCCACCCCACCCAACCACCATCCATCCCCTTGTGTGTTGTGTGCGTGACTCAGCTGGTGGACGACCATACTCCACTGCTGGGAGTGCTGGCACGGGGAGAGAGGGAGTGCTCCCCTTTAGGCTGGCACACGTACACGCAACCCCCCTCAACCCCTCTCCACCACACCCAACCACCACCCAAATCCCCTTTTTTGTGTCTCAGCTGGTGGACGACCATACGCCTCTCCTCGGGGTGCTGGCGCGGGGGGTGAGGGAGTGCTCCACTTAAGCTGTCACATATGTACACACCCCTCTCCACCCCTCTCCACCCCTCCATGCATGTACCTCAGCTGGTGGACGACCATACGCCTCTCCTTGGGGTGCTGGCGCGGGGGGTGAGGGAGTGCTCCCTGCGACCGCTCGTTGGGAGAGAGCTAGACCTAGACCCGTTTTTGGACAACATGTGAGTCACTGTGTGTATGATCGTCTCTGTGACTGCTTCCGTGTATGTGTGTGCACTGGCGGTGGTGGTGGCCCGGTGGGGGGGTGAGGGAGTGCTCTCTGCGGCCGCTAATGGGGAGGGAGCTAGACCTAGACCCGTTTTTGGACAACATGTGAGTCACTGTGTGTATGATCGTCTCTGTGACTGCTTCCGTGTATGTGTGTGCACTGGCGGTGGTGGTGGCCCGGTGGGGGGGTGAGGGAGTGCTCTCTGCGGCCGCTAATGGGGAGGGAGCTAGACCTAGACCCGTTTTTGGACAACATGTGAGTCACTGTGTGTATGATCGTCTCTGTGACTGCTTCCGTGTATGTGTGTGCACTGGCGGTGGTGGTGGCCCGGTGGGGGGGTGAGGGAGTGCTCTCTGCGGCTGCTAGTGGGGAGAGAGCTCGACCTAGACCTCGTCCTGGACAACATGTGAGTTACTCTTTGTGTGAGGGACTGCTGCTATATGTGCACTGCCAGTGCTGGTTTCTGGGTGGTGAAGGGGGTGAGGGGGGTGAGGGAGTGCAGTGCTCTCCCTGCGACCGCTAGTGGGGAGGGAGCTCGACCTGGATCCCTTCCTGGACAACATGTGAGTCAGCATGGGAGTGACTGCTACCATGTGTGCAGCAGCGGTGCTGGTGGCCGGGTGGTGAGGAGGGTGAGGGAGTGCAGTGGGGAGGGAGCTTGACCTGGATCCCTTCTTGGACAACATGTGAGTCAGCATGGGAGTCGCTGTGTGGGTCTGATAAGGGGCCAGACTCAAGTGCTCCCTGCAGCCGCTGGTGGGGAGGGAGCTCGACCTGGATACCTTCCTGGACAACATGTGAGTCGCTGTATGTATGAGTGAGTGTGGCGGTGACTGACTGTGTGAATCACTGCATAAGTTGCTGCTTCTGTGTGTACGCGCTCACGCGCTGGGGACAAAGGAGTGCTCTCTCTGCGACCACTCGTTGGGAGGGAGCTAGACCTGGATCCCTTTCTGGACAACATGTGAGTGGCTGTGTGAGTGACTGCTTATGTGCGTTGATACAGGAGGGAGCTTGACCTGGATCAAGGAGTGCTCTCTCTGCGACCACTCGTTGGGAGGGAGCTAGACCTGGATCCCTTTCTGGACAACATGTGAGTCGCTGCTTCTCTTTGTGAGGGCGTGTTCTGGAGATTCTGCCACAGGAGAAAGAGGAGGAGCGGAGGGGGAAGGAGGGAAGAGGGGGGATTAGGGGTTGAGAGTGAGGGAGTGCTCACAATAACGGTCACTTACAAGTGTATCCTCACCAATTCTCATCACATGCTGCGTTCCCCCTATCACATGCCGCACCCACCACTGCTGCGAATCAGTCGCAGAGTAGTTGCAGAGCATCACATCACATGTGACTCCTCACTCCCACGTGATAAAAGAGTTGTTTTGAAACGTCTCAGAATGACTCCTCACTCCCCTCTCACTCCTCCCCATTCCATTGACTCCTCACCTCCTCACTCTCCTCCCTTATTCTCCTCAACCTCCCCCTATCACAGGTTGCGGTTGCGGATCAACCGCAGGGTCATTGCGGAGCATCACATCACATGTATCTCCTCGTCCCCATTCGCTCCTTGAGTATAGCAACTTCTCACGCAAATACTCTATTCACTCCCCTCTCCCCACATACCACAGGCCGCGATCACCCTGACTCATTTTCGAAGGGCTGCAGTAGTAGAGAGAACGCTTAAGTAAAGGAACAACAGTGAAAAATTTGTGAAAAAACGCAGATCTGAAAAACCCTTAGCTTCCGAAAAGCCTCCTTGCGTAAACTAGTTTCGGCGGATGGGCGAACCCAATCACGCCTTCATCAGTACAGCACAATTCGGAACTCTATTCACTCCCCTCTCCCCACATACCACAGGCTGCGATCGCGAATCAGTCGCAGGGTCATTGCAGAGCATCACATCTGCCTGCAGCACCAACGGCCAGGATTCATCGGCGTCATCTGCTCCCAGGTGCGTTTCATCATCTTGTGTTTCAACTTGTCCCCATACGAGCCTTTACAGGAGCTAGCTTATGTGGAATATCAAAAGCTAGCAACAGTTAAGTGGTGCCTTATTGTTCTCCTTGCCTCTCCCCTCTCTTAACCCCTGCATGAGCTGTCCATGCAAGCAGTGGTGGGGGCAGCAGTCAAGCAGTGCACATATGTCTGCCCCTCTCACCGCCCCTCCCACGACCCGTCTTTGAGAATTTCCAAAAAGTGACTTCCATATAGCTCTCCATGCGAGCAGTGGTGGAAGCAGCAGTCAAGCAGTGCACGGACGTGTCAAAATAGACCCCTTCCCTCCTCTCTCTGACTCCCCTCTGTCTTCCTCCCCTTACATCAGCTCTCCATGCAAGCAGTAGTGGAAGCGGCAGTCAAGCAGTGCACAGATGTCTCTCGACGCACGTTCGGATTCTGCCCTGAATTTGAAGTGCATGGGGATGTGCACTCCACTTTTGCTTACGTGCCGGCACACATTGAGTACATGCTCTTCGAGATACTCAAGGTGCGTTGAGTCAGAAAATGTCATGTGCGTGTGTGTGTTTGCTGTGAACCTGAGTTCACTGTGCATGGGGACGGTATGTGCACACCACCTTTCCCTGCGTGTCGGCACACATTGAATACATGTTCTTCGAGATTCTCAAGGTGTGTTGAGTCAACATGTGTCGGTCGGAATCAACTGAAATCAACATGTGTCAAATCAGAGTGCTTCATGTGCACTTTATTCAGGACGCTATTGCAAGTCCTCAAGACACCTTCTCCTGTCTTCCCTCTCCTCCTCTTCGCACCTAAATTCTTACTTTCACTGCCCAGAACGCATCGCGAGCAGTGGTGGAGCATCATCTCAGGAAGGCTCACGAGGAGGGCAAAACAGCCTCCCAGGCGACCCTTCCCGCCCGCATTGCTGCCCTTACATTCTCTCCTTCCTCCACTTCCCACCTTCCACCCCATTCCCCTCTACCAGAACGCATCGCGAGCAGTGGTGGAGCATCATCTCAGGAAGGCTCACGAGGAGGGCAAAACAGCCTCCCAGGCTACCTTCCCCCCTGTTACAATCACAGTCTGCAGAGGTCACAATGAAAGCACGATTAAGGTATGCATATCAGTAAGCAGTGCGGACCTTGATTGTGCCAGAGGCGCATTCTCCCATCAAGTGTTATAACAATCACAGTCTGCAGAGGTCACAATGAAAGCACGATTAAGGTATGCATATCAGTAAGCAGTGCGGACCTTGATTGTGCCAGAGGCGCATTCTCCCATCAAGTGTTATAACAATCACAGTCTGCAGAGGTCACAATGAAAGCACGATTAAGGTATGCATATCAGTAAGCAGTGCGGACCTTGATTGTGCCAGAGGCACATTCTCCCATCAAGTGTTATAACAATCACAGTCTGCAGAGGTCACAACGAAAGCACAATCAAGGTAAGTAAGCCTCTAGACAGCTGTGTTAGAAGAATCTCAAAACCCCCACACGCAATCACACTGTCGTCCAAGTGCAAAGTTCCTAGCACCTGGCTAGCAGTGCAAGATGTGACTTTTGAGACGCCTCAAAAGCCGACAGTGCAAAATGTGACGACTTTTTATGCTCCTCAAAAGTGGAAACCCGTACACGCAATCACGCTGTCGTCCAAGTGCAAAGTTTCTAGCACCTGGCCAACAGTGCAAAATGTGCTGATCATTCCGGTTTGGTTGGGTTTGATGTGGTGCTGGCTGGCAGGTTTCGGATCAAGGAGGGGGCATTGCGAATGAGCTGAAGGAGAAGGTGAGCTGTCATGGGGACAGAGGAGGAGGAGGAGGAGAGGGCTATTCAGACGGTTCAAAAGTAGGCCTGGAGTTTGATATGGGCTGCTGGCAGGTGTGGGATCATGGAGGGGGCATTGCAAACGAGAATGATTGACGGAGAAGGTGAGAGGGAGATGGGAGGGGGCGGGGAGGGGTGAGAGGACTAGTGAGATGAGATGAGACATCTTAAGAGTACGGCTGGAGAATGATTGACATTGGTCTTGACATCTCAAGAGAACGTTAGTCTTTTGGGGGCAACGGCAGTGGTATGAGTTGTGTGGGTTTGGGTGGGATTCTGCAAACCCAGATACTCTTGAGTGGCCAATCGTTTTGGAGAGCAATGGAAAGTTGAACTCATTTCCTGCACTGCACTGCATTTGTCTGTACCATACATCACCGCGATCAGCCGCACTCTAGCCCCTTCTACCACAACCCACCGCATGATTCAGGTGTGGAGCTATGGCTTTTCGTCACTGGATGAGGATACAGAGGCAGGCCCAGCTGCAACTGCAGGTGTGTGTGTGTGTGTGGAAGGGGGGAGGGGAGAAGAAGGGGGGAAGGAATGGGATACACTATGCTTCACACTCCCACTGGAACACCTGCCCTGCCTCAAGGTGACTTTTGAGTCGACTCAAAAGTCACCTCGTTACCATGGCACACGAAGGGGATACACTATGCTTCACACTTCCACTGGAACACCTGCCCTGCCTCACTTCTTGGAACACCTGCCCTGCCTCACTGGAACACAGATGAAGTTTTTCCACTGCTTTAATTCTTCCTACAACCCCTTTACCCACTCCCCCTTCCCCCACTCCTTCCCCTTTCCCCCGTCTCCAACCCCCCCTCCCGACTCGTGTGCGACTTGGTTCAGAATACAATACCTTCCCCACTCTCTCCCCCTCCCCGCTTCTCCTCCCTCCTTCCTCTCCCCCATCTCCAGGCCCACAAAAGGACAATGGCCGAAGCTGAGTCCGGCCTTTTGAGGCGTCTCACAATTCAAGAAGGCGTCTCACAATTCATGGCAGCCCAATGGCCGGACTCAGCTTCGGCCTTCCCCTCTCCCTGCTCATGTGTGACTTTGGTTGGCACTCTCTGTACCGCTCTCCACCCCCCTGCACCTTTTCCTCCCCCCATGCACCACTTTCTTCCCCCCTACACCACTTCATCTCTCCTTGCTCCAGGCCCTCTCGACTCGCATGGCAGTCCCATGGCTGGATTGGGATTCGGCCTTCCCCTCTCCCATCGATTGCACCTCTGCTTGACACTATCTGCACCACCTCCCACCCCACTCTACCGCTCCCCCTCCCCCCTCGCCAGGCCCTCTTGACTCCCATGGCAGTCCCATGGCTGGACTGGGGTTCGGCCTTCCCCTCTCCCATCGATTGCACCTCTGCTTGACACTATCTGGACCACCTCCCACCCCACTCTACCGCTCCCCCTCCCCCCTCGCCAGGCCCTCTTGACTCCCATGGCAGTCCCATGGCTGGACTGGGATTCGGCCTTCCCCTCTCCCGACTCATGTGTGGCTTTGCTCGGCACTCTCTGCACCACTCCCCACCCATCTCCACCACTCTCCCCTACCCCCCAGGCCCTCTTGACTCCCACGGCAGTCCCATGGCTGGATTGCGGTTTGGCCTTCCCCTCTGCTGGGCACTGTCTGTTTCCCCTGCACCATTCCCGACCCCCCTGCACCTCTCCCCATCCCTCCGTCCCAGGCCCTCTTGACTCCCGGCAGCCCCATGGCTGGCCTGGGGTTTGGCCTTCCCCTCTCCCGACTCATGTGTGACTTGGTTGGCACTCTCTGCACCACTCCCCACCCATCTCCACCACTCTCCCCTACCCGCCAGGCCCTCTTGACTCCCACGGCAGCCCCATGGCCGGTCTGGGATTCGGCCTTCCCCTCTCCCGTTTGCACGCGCAGTACTTTGGGGGAGACATTGAGGTAAGACGTACAATCCGAGAGTTATGTTGTTAAGTTCCACCAGAACTGGCCGGACTGGGGTTCGGCCTTCCCCTCTCCCGTCTGCATGCGCAGTATTTTGGGGGGGATATTGAGGTGAGGTGTAGATTGGGTGTCTAATCTGGTTAGTTGCTGATTAACTTGCCCAATTTGTTCTGGCCTTCGATTCTTGTGACTGCATTGTTATGGCCCGCGCCATTTTACCTTTGTCCCTCTTTCCCCCCACCTTCCCCTTCCTGTTGTCCTCTTTATGCAGTTCTTCAGTATCCCTGGTTACGGCACGGATGTCTACATTAGAGTGCATAGACTGGGCAATCACCAAGAGGAATTTGAGATCTGATCTTCAATTAAGATTTGACCAGCTGTTCAGTATTCAGTGAAGGTTACCTGCTTCCTGCCATATACAGCACGTACACAGTATGAAGTTCTTCAACCATTCTTTGCTAGTTCCAGCACTTCCTTCGTACACTGTACATTGAGGCACTAAACAAATACCGTATCTTACTGGCTCCTTGACCCATGATGGAGGGTGTATTTCTGTGAACTTAAAGCCCGGGTACAGCATGGTAATTTTCAAGTTCAAGATTCTTGAACTTGAAATCGCAAAAAACAGGGTTACCCTACTTGTTTTGAAGAAACTCTCGCAACCCCAGGCAATCGTCCTGCGACAACGGAACCCGAGTGCCCAAAAACAGAACTGACGCGATGATCGCCAACCATATGCACTGTTCACCACTCACATAACTTGCTTACCAAGTCGTACTCATAGACTAGGAGGCTCCAAGGCAAAAACTAGCGCTAGTTGGCAAAAGCGAGTCGTTGTTAGGGCTTTTTTTTTGTGCGGAAAAAAAAATAGGTATCCACCTCAACCATCTTAGTCAGTGCACGCTCCGATTTCCCCCTCACGTCGCCGGTCTCGTGTTACAACCCGTTCACCCGCAGCACTTACGTTAGTGAACAATCGTCGCGTTACTCGCGCCTTGCTTTCAAGCTCGCGTCGCACAAGATGCTCTTTTCACACTTGCTGCGGTTCAGCCTCGCGTCCCGATTTTACCGTTTTAGGCACGGGTCGCTCACGCGAATGCCGTACAGGTTCGCCAGACGCCCGTCACCCGCGCTTCCCGTCGTCGCCCTTGCTTCCCCGTCACCCGCGCTTGTTCTCATCTCTCGCTCTCCTCCTCAACGTCTTCGTTTCCCTCGTCGCCATAACGCCCTCGCTTCTGCCCGTCGCCCTCGCCTCCCCACATACCCGCCTCCATCTCCCCCACATACCACCCGCCTTCCTCCCCACATTCTATTCCGCTTGTCATACGCTCTTCTCCTCTTCCTCCCTTCCATCTCTCCCTCCCTCCCTCTCCCTCTCTCTATCTCTCTTTCTTCGAACCTCTCTCTCACCCTTTCTTCCACCCTTCTTCCTCCTGAGGGGAAGGGACTGAATGAGAGACACAGAGGGGATAGGACAGAAGGGTATGCAGATGTTCTTTTCCCCCACGCGCTTCCCCTCATCGCCCTCACTTCCCCCAAATCGTTGCCCCCTGTCTCTGTTTTTCCCAACCACCCGTTCTCCCACCAGCCCTGCTTCCCCCTTTGCCCTGATTCCTTCCACCCTCTGCCCTGCTCCCCCCCATCCCCTTCCCTGCTTCCCCCCACCCTCTGCCCTGCTCCCCCCATCCCGTTCCCTGCTTCCCCCCACCCTCTACCCTGCTCCCCCCCATCCCCTTCCCTGCTCCCCCCCACCCTCTGCCCTGCTTCCCCTCATCCCATTCCCTGCTTCTCCCCACCCCCTGCCCTGCTTCTCCCCATCCCCTTCCCTGCTTCCCCCCATCCCCTTCCATGCTTCCCCCCATCCCCTTCCCTGCTTCCCCCCATCCCCTTCCCTGCTTCCCCCCATCCCCTTCCCTGCTTCCCCCCATCCCCTTCCCTGCTTCTCCCCATCCGCTTCCCTGCTTCCCCCCCTCTTTTGCTGCTTCCCCCTACCCTCTGCCCTGCTCCCCCCCATCCCCTTCCCTGCTTCCCCCCATCCCCTTCCCTGCTTCTCCCCATCCCCTTCCCTGCTTCCCCCCATCCCCTTCCCTGCTTCCCCCCATCCCCTTCCCTGTCTCCGTGTTACCCGTTTCCTTGTCCCTTTTCCCTGTGTCTCCCCACCCTCTGTTTCATTCCTTCACCCTCGCACACCTTACCGCCTGCCGACCTTACCGCCTGCCCACCTTACCACCTCAAATCCTTCCCTTCTCATCCGCGCGCAGGTGTGGCGGAAGGTGCACGTGCTGCCTTGTGCCTGCCGCTTGCTGTCCACGCCTTCCATCCCACCTCTCCCAAACCACGTCTTTTTCTATATGTGCCTCCCCTGCTGGCCCATACCCTCTGCTGATCTGCGCCCTATGAGGCCGTGCCCTCTCTGTTCCCCGCCCCTGCATGTACGGAGGGATTGGGAGCCGCTTTGCCTAGCAGCCAGCACTGTGCAGGCAAGGATTCGAACTGGTGGATCATGGGGCAAGGGTAAGGGAGTGTGTTGTGCGGCATGGTCAGTGCGGAGTGGCGTGGGAGGGAGGCAAAATGGCAAGCACAGGGTGAAGGCAGGCAGGGGCCGTGGCAAAAATATGGAGATTGGCAGTGTCAGCAGGATGTGCGGCAGGATGCTGGCGGCAGCGCACGTCAGGGCATGTGCGGTGGGGCAAGGCTGGTCTGCGCTGCGGTGGGCCGGGGGAGTGCAGATTGGTGCAGGGAAAGGCACGACATGTTCCTATGTGGCCGGCCGAGACCCTTATGAGTTGCGGGATCTGAGCTTGAGAGTGTACGCTTGGAAATGTATTGCTAATGTGTTTCTTGATATGTAATTTTCATGATTCACAATTTGCTTTTCTATGCCAATTCAGCACTTGAATTTTTTATGTTATTCTGAAGTGATATCTCAAACTTATCCAAATATTTTAGTCGATTAGTAATCACAGGAAATATTGTTCAGTGTACTGCCTCACTCTTACTCGCGTGAGTTTCGCGTTCCCCACCATTTCAACCCCAAGAGAAGCGCAGTGTGCCCCACCAGTGCTGGGGCGGGAGCAGTGCTCTGTCGCACACTGGGTCGTTCGGCCCTCCCATATCCTCGGGGACAGCTGTCGCATAGTATCGTGGCGAAGACTGTTTTTCCCGCCTCCTGAATTCGGTTTCGCCCCACACACATTTTCGAAATTCACGATTTTCAGGTTTTCGCCTAACTGTTTCAACCCCACATAACTTGAAAAATTACCATTCTGACCTCGGGCTTTAAAGGATCTCTTGATTGGTGCCACTACAGTTTAGCTGGAGTTTCTGTGCATGCTGGGGTGGAGACTGCATCGTTTTGGAAGCTTTTAGTGGGAAACTCAACAACGAACTAAGGTTCAGATTGCTTGCTTCTCCATGGTATGGGGTGCGTTTCTCCTAGAAAGCTCTCAGGTTGAGACAAACATAACTGCACTTACGGTACTATTGCACTGCTTACAGGAGAAAAGCAAGAAAAAACTCCTGAACACTTGGCCGCTCAAACACAGCTCACTCATATTTCAGCCTCCCGTAGCGCACGCACACATTCACACTCTCTCCAACTGTCCTGCGAAGCCATAACCCTGCCCTAGGTGCTCCTCGTGTACGTAACCAACAGGGTTACCATCGTTTACAATCCGACCTGCCATCATGATCCAGTAACCAGAAATTCCCATCATTTTTCATCTTCCCGTCCCGAGAATTTAGTGTCAAGGACAACTCTCGGTTGTGTTTCCGAGCCATCAGTGTCACGGAGACAGACTGAATTGCTCTTGGAGGGAAATCTGGCTCAGTTGAAGGGAAAACTTCCCGTTCTCACTTCCAACGTTCGCCTTTCACGCGGCCTGTGGAGCGAATCTCCTTGCTCCTCTGCCGATCAGCCTTCCGCAATTCCAGCTGCTTGTGGAACTTCTTAAGAACCCGCTCAGCCACGGCCTTGGATCCCTCGATTCGCTGCGCCAGGCGCGCCGCTTCCGCCTGCGCCTCGTCCCACTCCCACCAGTTGCACTCGTCTTGCTTGGGGGGCTGCGGGGGTTCCGCCGGGTGATCTGTCATGCAAACGGGCGAAAAGTAATCATTATTATAGGAATCTTCAAAGATATCCTGCAGAGGTATGTATAACCTGTAAGAAAACAAATGAAATCGGGATTTTGGCCCTCAAAGAACGTGTTCGCATACCTCGTTTGTAAGCGGCCTTCAGCTTGGCGCGCTGTGCCTTCGTCATGCGAGAAGTGCACTGTGACTCCCAGCCCTTGGATGACATGATTTCCGGGAGCTCTAAATCGACGGTCGCCATCGCTTCTGGAGGTGAGAGCCTGCTTGAAGACTTCCGAAGTCCTTTAGAAAAAAGTTCGTTCTATGAGCTGACTGTGCGGGGGAGACTAGCCGGCTTCTGGGGGATAAGGCTTTCGAAAACCAAGATTATTCTAAAGGCTAATATACTCTGTGGCGCAGGTAGGAAAGTGTCTACTTTCTGTGGTGGTGGGTTGGGTAGATTTTGTGGAATCAACAGCTGAAAGAACTCCGAAAGCAGAAGACCAAGAAAGGAATGCGAAGTGTGATGGAATGGGAATGACTCGCGCACCCTTTTATGCTGTACCCACCCACCAACCCAGCAATGCGAAATTGATGAATTTTCTCCCCATCAGCTAAGCGAGTCCGAGTCGCACCTCGGAAGCGCAGCGAAATAGGGTTTTGCGTTCCACACGCAAGAAAATTCGGTCGGTACTGTAGCCGGTTTCGTGGTGATGGGTGGAGGTCCACGTCACCTGAAACAGTAGCGTGATTGGTGGTTCTTCCAGAAATTCTGGCGCCCTATACGCAACCGTGACTTTTGAAGACTGGATAAACCCGAACCCCTTTAAAACCCTGATATACCCGCTGTAAGGTCCATCGCTGAAGGTGTTCAACATTTTTGCAAAGAGTAGCTTACAATTTCACAAATGGAGCGTTACTTGGAA